GCAAATTTCAGTCTGAATTCCAGCATTGACTCCATTCTAAATCTGTTTGGCCTTAAAGTTAAAGTCTTTTCCACATTAAATCCTTTATCATTATCACCTCCTAAATAGCTCCTTACATTCCCCCCCCTACAGATTAGACACAGACATTAGACAATAAGCCTTAATGCTAGAGCAGGCAAAATGCCATACACATTTAAAACCGATTTGCAACTATTTATTTGCCTAAAAGCTGCAATTTTGCTTCCACAATATACTATTAGGGATCATTCTTTTTTCCATAAAGTAAACACTGCCTTCTTCTTAGAGGTTATGTTACAGCTGGGAAGACTTTTAACGCAGCAGCGAAATGAAGCATTTTTTCTATTCATCTTCCCAAACTCTTATTGAGAAAATGGGCGTAAGAAGAATTTATATATGCCTGGATTTTTTCCTCTGTTTTCAAACAGGGCCACAGTCACACTATAATTTTCCTCCTCCTCTGCACAGGTAACCATCAACTTATGACCACGATTCAGCCCAGCATTTCTGTTGCTAAGTGAGACAATTGTTAAGAGATTTTTGCCCCATTTTATGACCTTTCTTGCCACAGTTGTTAAGAGAAGCATGGCAGTTGCTAAGTTAATAACAACGTTGTTAAGAGAATCTGGCTTCCCCATTGGCTATGTCAAAAGGTCGCAAAAGGGGATCACATGAGCCCGGGATACTGTAAACCGTCATAAATACAAGTCAAGTTGCCAAGCATCTGGATTTTGATTACATGACCATAGGGATGGTGCAACGGTTGTAAGTGTGAATAAGAGACATAAGTCATATTTTTTCAGTGCCAATGTAACTTTGAACGGTTACCGAATGAACTGTTGTAAATCAAGGACTAGAATAAAATAGAATAGAATTCTTTATTGGCCAAGTGTGATTGGACACACAAGGAATTTGTCTTTGGTGCATACACTCTCAGTGTACATAAAAAGAAAAGATACGTTCATCAAGAATCATAAGGTACAACACTTAATGATAGTCATAGGGAAACAGTCAATATGAATCTTAAGGATACCAGCAACAAGGTTACAGTCATAAGTGGGAGGAGATGGGTGATAGAAACGATGAGAAGATGACTACCTGTAATAAGGCACAGCACTGGAGTTACGGTTTTGGAGAGGAAGCCGAAAGTCACCTGACCCAATTCATGCTCAGTTCCTGATCTGCAGGACACCAACAGACAACTTTGTGCCTAAAGCAGGACTAGAACTCATGTCGCCCAGTTTCTATCCTGAAGCATTAATCACTACACCTAACTGGCTGTCTTGTAAACAAACCACAATAACAAGTTCTACACATCTCAGAAGCTAATTACATCTTTCCTTATTGCTGTTTCACCCTCCATTGAAAAGCTATTTTCCTAACGTTCAGCTGAAACCTGTTTTTTTACAGGTTTTTTTTCATTGTCCTCTAGAGGAAAAGAGAACAGATTAGCTCTATTTCCCTATTTGTTGACCTGTCAAATACTTGATACAGCATTTCAGTTAAGAATGCCTTCTGAATGGATTGAGGGCCTTCCCGAAGGTGGATTCACCTTTGTCTTTCCTGAATATTTTCATCATTCCCTGTGAACAAAATGTGCTTGTGGTAGAGATGCAGAGATGTCAGAATGGGAAGCATTTACTATGTTAAGCAGGTATAGAATGAAGCGGAACGTGATTGACCAAAGTAGCATGATAATCAATTCCTTAGTCTTTAAAGCATTGCAGGATTTTCTGCTATGTTTGTTTGCATTGTTTTAAAGCTAATGACATGTCCTCCAATGGAGCCTGAAGATGTCACCCTAAGCACTCTTGAAAGAAAGAATGGTATAGGGCAGTGATGGCTAACCTTTTTGCTGTCGCGTGCCAAAAGTGGGGGGAGTGCAGGGGGTCACGTGTGTGTGTGCCCACACCCGTAATTCAATGCCCCCTGCGCATGTGTGCAAGACCCCCCATGCTCCCCCCGCTTTTGGCATGTGACGGCAAAAAGGTTACCGGTAGGCCCGTTTTTCACCCTCCCCAGGCTCCAGAGACTTTCTTGGAGCCTGGGGAGGGCGAAAACAGCCTCCCCCACCACCTGTTCTGTCCCCGTCTCACACACGCACCCCCACAGACAGTCAATAGTGAAATAAACCAGCCAACAAAGGTTTCTCTAAGAGCAGAATTGGCAGCAACCCAGTGGCTGGCTGCCAAGAGTCTTTTACTTACGAAGGGAGTGTTTTTCAAAGCCAACACACCAGAGATAAGAGAATACTCAAAAAGAATGCAGAGAGGTTTGTTCAATATCAGTTTTTGCTAGTCACAGAGCTTGAATGGCCACCACATCCCCTTTTATACCCTGTGGGGTGTGGTCCAGTAACTCACCCTAATCCCTGGCACGCCTCTTCCTCTGCTGCGCGCGCTTATCTCTGCGACGCTGTCGAGGGTCCAGCCAAGACTCATCATCATCATCATTACTGTCCACCTGCGGCTGCGTGGAAGTGCTTGGCCCCGGGCCTATCTCTTGGCCTTCGGAGGACACCGGAGGCATTGCCAGAGAGGAGGGTGCTGGAGAGGGAGGCCTTGCCAACTCCTCTCCTTCACTCTCGGAGTCCTCTCCTGCTGATAACACAGGCTCGGTGATCGGAGCCACAACACCACCCCAGAGGCCCTCCAGAGGCCGAAAACGCCCTCCCAGAGCCTCCGCGCGAGCCCTGTACTTACCTGGCATCCAAAATGGGCTGTGTGGAGACTCCTGGGAGGGGAGGGGCAGCGTGGGCAGGGCCAGCCGAAAATCAGCTGGCCGACACGCTCATGCGTGCTGGAGCTCAGCTAGGGCAACGGCTCGCATGCCCACAGATATGGCTCCATGTGCCACCTGTGGCACGTGTGCCATAGGTTCGCCATCACGGGTATAGGGTCTCCTGCTTGAGCAGGGGGCTGGACTAGAGGACCTCCAAGGTCCCTTCCAGCTCAATTCTGATTGATTGATTGACTTGTCTTTCATGACATCCCTTCCTCTCAACTCTAACCAATAGCAGAGTTTGCCAAAATGTGCTTGATCTGACATTTATGGACCGTCCATCTTCTTCAGACCCAAGCTCTGTGTGATTTGTGGCATGTCAATGGCAACTGTGAGACAGTCAGGAGTGGCCCAGCTCCTGTCTCTTTCATCTACTGTAGGTATAATATACTCTATTACCGTGATGGCAAACCTATGGCATGCGTGCCCAAAGTGGCACATGAAGCCATGTCACCCGGCCTTGCCTGTTCGTCTTTCGGGTTTCTGGTGCGCATGCGCATGTGTCAATCAGCTGTTCTTCACGTGTATGACACTGCCAAAAACTGGTGTGCACATGCGCGCTGGCCAGCTGATTGTTGGGTGCACATGTGTGCCAGAACAAAGAGGTTCAGCTTTTCCGGAGCCGATCCCTTCTCAAGTCACATCTCTCATGGCATCCACACTATAGGGAATGCTAGACTGCTATCAAAATATGTACTGTTGTCAGAATAGAACTGGACGGGACCTTGGAGGTCTTCTAGTCCAACCTCAAGCAGGAGACCCTGTACCATTTCAGACAAATGATTGTCTAATCTCTTCTTTTTTTAAAAAAATGTCTTTATTATTAAAATATAAACAAAAATATAAAGACAATACAAAGACAAACAAAACCCTACCACCTACAAACCCACACAACATTCTACATATATGGTTTTTGTCATCAACAGAATATATATTTCTTTACGTATTAATAAGAAAATAGTATTGAACTCTTAATTCAAATGGTTTAAACTAAGAATAATCTTGCATCTTCTCTATATTCATCTCCTACTATTAATCTTTCACCCTATTTATTTTCATATACGGTTGTACTGATTTTCCTTTCCAGCCATTGGTACCATTGGTGCCAAACAAGATAGTAGTCACTTTCTTCCTTATCCTGGAGTTCCAGCATCAATCTATCCATTTTGGCACATTCTGCTATCTTTGAGATGATTTTATCTTTGATTGGGAGTTGGTCTAATTTCCCGTTTTGAGCGAACAGTAATCGTGCTGCTGTCAAAATATGTATAATAAGATATTTCGTCTCTTTGGTATATTGTGCTGCTATCATGCCAAATAAAAAAAATTCTGGGCTATCTTCTATTTGTAGGTTCGTTATTTCCTCAATGATTTTCTTTATGTCTTGCCAATATTGTTGGGCCTTCGTACATTTCCACCAAGCATGGTAATATGTCCCCTTTTTTGTTTTACACTTCCAACAGATTGTCTAATCTCTTCTTAAAAGCCTCCAGTTGGAGCACCCATAATTTCTGGAGGCAAGTCGTTCCACTGGTTAATTGTTCTCACCGTTAGGAAGTTTCTCAATTCTGTAAATTAGGTCCTGAGTTTAGGTAGGAAATACCAGAAATACAAGGCAGTAGCTGGCTCAATAGTGGTGCCTGTGAGAGGGAATTAGATGTCCTGGTAGACCACTGCTTACCGTTAAGTATGAGCCAGCAGTCGGCTGCAGCTCCTAAAAAATCCAGTACAGTCCTAGGACGCATCAACAGAAGGATAGCATCAAGAAAACTGTGGCAAGAAAGGTCGTAAAATGGGGCAAAATTCACTTAACAACTGTCTGACTACATGGCTTAGTGGTTAAGACACTGAGCTTGTCGATCAGAAAGGTTGAACTAGGGTTCCAATCCCTAGTATAGGTCTCCTGTGTGAGCAGGGGTTGGACTAGATGACCTCCAAGGTCCCTTCCAACTCTGTTACTGTCTGGCATAGCAACAGAAGGTTTGGGCTCAATTGTGGTCATAAGTCGAGGACTGCCTGTAATGGCATCATGCTCTTTAGTGTCCCACAGATCACCAGAGCGCCCCGCCTATAGGGGGCGCAGCCACAGAAGTGGCTTCAACCATAGAGTTCCGTCTGCGGCGGCGGCGGCCTCCTTATGCAATTCATAGTGGCTTTCATCCGGAAGCTAGGCCTGGGCGTCCCTTCTCGGCCTAGTTGCCCCAGCAACCGACAGACGAGCTGGAAAAAATGGCGGCGGAGGCCTGCATGGCTGGAGGAGACTCAGCGGCGGCAACAGCCGCAGCAGAACCGAACCCGGCCTGGACCGAATCCGGCCTCTGCTTGCAACGCTACCTGGCGCGGCTCAAGGCTCTGCAGCTCGACCCCGATCCCAGTCAGGCCCCGGGAGGGGAGAACGTCGCCCGCCGCCGTCCCGAGCTCCACCTGCTCTTCGACGAGCTCATGTCCGAGACCTGCGGCCCGGGGGGAGCGGCGCCTTGGGGGCCGAGGCCGGAGGTGAGTATCCGGAGAAGGCAGAGGAGCGGCGGGGGAATTTGATGGGATGGAGGAAATAGACTCCAAGCAACGCTGGATCCCCAGGATCCTCCACAGCAGGGGTGGGCAAATGTGGCCCTTTTACAACCTATGGACTTCAACTCCCAGAATTCCTGAGGCAGTCAAGCTGTCTCAGGAATTCTGGGAGTTGAAGTCCACAGGTTGTAAAAGAGCCACATTTGCCCACCCCTGCTCCACAGGCATTTCCCATTCCCTCATTCTGTAATATTCTTTTTTAATTCCCCCCCCCCCCCCCCTTTTAACCTCACAGCAACAAATCTCTAAGATAGGTTACTTTCAGAGATACAGGTAGTCCTCGATTTATGGCCATAATCGAGCCCATTCTATTGCTATGCGAGACAGTTGTTAAGTGAATCGCTGCAGTTAAGTTAGTAACACGGTTGTTAAGTGAATCTGGCTTTCCCCATTGACTTTGCTTGTCAGAAGTTACAACAAGGGATCACGTGACCCCGTGACAATGCAACCTTCATAAATAGGAGTCTCGGTTGCCAAAATTTTGATCACATGACCACAGGGATGCTGCAAAGGTCGTAGCTGAAAAACGGTCATAATAAGTCTCTTTTTTTCAGTGCCGTTGTAACTTTGAACGGTCACTAAATGACCTATTGTAAGTGGAGGACAATCCTTAATATTCTTTTTTATTTTTATTTTTCCAATTTTAACCTCGCAACAACAAATCTGTAAGATAGGTTGGGTTGAAAGATACAGGTAGTCTTCGACTTATGACCATAATTTAGTCCAAAATTTCTGTTGCTATGCAAGACAGTTGTTAAGTGAAGTTAAGTGTCAGGTGTGCTTCCTTCAAAGTCCAGGAAAGAATAAGCCAAACTCCATTATTTATAGAGTAATGTACTTTTACTAGAAAATGAAGTGAACGCTACCAAGGAAAAGCTGAAACTAAAATAATAGGCGTGAAGATTCCATATAGAAAGCATCCCCTCCCACTGTCCATCATCAAACACCCAATCCAAAGGTCTCCCAGAGGTCAGGTGGTTGTTAAGTGAATCTGGCTTTCCCCATTGCTTCTCAGAAGGTTGCAAAAGATGATCACGTGACCCAGAACCATCATAAATATGAGTCAGTTGCCAAACATGCAACAATGGGGGATGCTGCAATGGTCATAATTGTGAAAAATGGTCATGAGTCAATTTTTTCAGCGTAGTTATAATTTTGAACAGGGCCTAAATGAACTGTTGTAAGTTGAGGACTATCTGTATTGGCATTCAATTTCATCTCTGTGTCTTTCAGGGTATTAAAAGTAACTAATACACCCCTTTTTTGTCCTTTTATATGGCAGGACATTTGTGAACTAATTGTCCAAGCTTGTAAACTAGTCCAGCTTAATCAAGAACATCTTGTCAATAAAGTGTGCCAATTAATTCACCAGCTGCTCAACAGATTCCAGGTGAGAAAACTATATTTTTTGTCATATTTTGGTGGAGCATCTACTGTTTCAAATTCTCATAATTGTTTTCATTGACTTCATAGTATATTTAGTACACTATAAACGAAGAGTCATTATGCTGCCATTAGAAAAATGATAATTGTTAACTATAAATGTAACACACTTTTTTCTCTTCTCCGTATACAGATGAGACAGCTGGTGGGTTTATTAGCTGTTAAATTCTTCTGCTTCTGGATGTCATTTTTGAAGGATATGAGACAATAGTTAATGAAACTGATTTACTGCTTACCAAATAAGATATTATCCTGAATTCATCGATACAAGATTATGCTAATTTCATTTTTCTTTCTGCAATTGCAGGTTGCACTTGATGAAGAGAGTCTGAATTATCTGATGCCTTATTTCATCTCTGCTCTGAGAAAATGCAGCACTTGGACACATGTTGAAATTCTGCAAGCCTTGGCAGCCTCTGTCTACAGCAATGGACACAAGTGCCAAAAGGTGGATTGGAATAGAATTTTTGAATATCTTGCTTAGAAACTTTTTCTATTTGCCTAGTGCAGAGGAATTATGGGTAAAGGAGTTAGAAGTTAGAAGGAAATTTCAATACCTGTTGCTGAGAATTGCCATCTGAATAGTAGAACCATAAACAAATAGGTTCATAATTCAGTCCATCCCATCCAAGCAGAAGGGCTAGTCAAACTTTTTAGATTCTGGTATAGGTAGTCCTCAATTTACAACAGTTCATTTAGTGATTGTTCAAAGCTACGATACTGAAAAAAGTACTTATGGCCATTTTTCATAGTTACAACCTTTGTAGCATCCCCATGACCATGTGATCAAAATTCAGATGCTTGGCAATTGGTTCCTACTTACGACCATTGCTGTGTCCCAAGGTCATGTGATCACCTTTTGCAACCTTCTGACCAGCAAAGTCAATGGGGAAGCCAGATTCACTTAACAACCGGCTTGCTAACTTATCAATTGCAGTGATTCACTTAACATCTGTGGTAAGAAAGGTTGTAAAATGGGGCAAAACTCACTTAACAAATGTTTCACGTAACAACAGAAATTTTGGGCTCAATTGTGGTTATAAGTTGAGGGCTATCTGTATATTTCTTGAAGATAGAAGACTTAGTTGGAAATGTTATGTATTATCCTGACACAAAGTAATTTGGAGTTCTTGAATAATGTTTCTACATCTTCAGTTCTGTTTTGATATTTTTATACCACTTTCACAATATAGACAAGTTAATTTTTTAAAAAAATGTGCTGTTTGGAAGACTTCAAATTTCTTGTGGTAATGATATTTTTCTAACTAACTAACTATTCAAAAATGCATCACAAATACCATTGACTGGTGCTAATGGTTGATACGGGTTGCTGCCAGCATCCTAGGTATCAACCAAGTACTTTCTTAAGATGTATGATGTGCCAAGTAGAGCACATCAGTTTTTGCAGTTCCACTAGTGTTATTGCAGGAAACTGCAATTTGCTGATGTATGTTATAAAATTCTTGGACATGGTACCAAGCGCCCCCGTGACAATGGGTATCACTGTTACATGTTTCATCCATAGCCATGTAGTTTCGATATTTCATGATTTTTTCCAGTTCTTTTTCTTCGACTCTGGCATCTCCTGGTACCGCGATGTCAATAAAATTGTACGTTTTGGTTTTCGACAACTGTGATATCTGGCGTGTTGTGTTTCCAAGTGACGATCCGTCTATATTCGAAAGTCCCACAAGATCTTCACCTTCTCATTTTCTATAACTTTTTCCACTTTATGTTCCCATGACTTTTTGGTCACAGGAAAGTTGTATTTTTTACATAATGACCAGTGGATTAATTTAGCAACTTGGTCGTGTCTCCTCCTCCTCCTCCTCCTCCTCCTCCTTCTCCTCCTTATTCTTCGCAACTCGGTCGTTTCTTCTTCTTCTTCTTCTTCTTCCTTCTTCTTCTTCTTCTTCTTCTTCTTCTTCTTCTTCTTCTTCTTCTATTATTGTTATTGTTATGTAATATAAACAATAGTTTATAGTTTAACACAGTACAGGTTAGTATAGACTGTATGGTGGCTAAATGAAGAATTTCCTATCCCTGTTACCCCAGAATAATTCCTGCTATCTGATGATGGGAAAAACCTGAATGAAATTTTCAGCTTTTACCTCTTTTTTTTTAATTGTAGCCTGAGGTTCATCCAGCCTGAAAGCCACAATGAGATATAAGATGACTGAGCTTCTAGAATTTGTGCACTAAGCATGCTTTTGTTGCTTAGCTAATTCTAAGTTTTGTTTTGCATCTCTTCTCCAATTTGTTCTCCAACAAATCTCCAACAATGTGCTGATTGGTTTGTTTGTTTGTTTTAAGTATCTCCCAGATTTGCTGGGGGAAAATGGACTTCTGAGGCAGTTCAGCAGCCCAGCTGAAACTGATGCTGAACGGAAAAGGGCCGCGATACACAGCATGGCAAACCTGTGCCTCAGGTATGACAGAAACAAATAGGTATGGCTTAACTCCTTTCCATTATGTTGTGCCTCTTCCAGGGATAGAGGATGTAAATATTCCAGCATTGGTGGGGTCCAGAAAAAAATGTCTAAATCCAAGGCCCACAGATAAACATCCCCATACATTCCAGCTTACAGCACATTTTTGTGGAAGTGTGTTTTCTTTAAGTGTTAATAATAGACTTCCAAATAGCTGTTAACATTCTAGCTCAAATGTTCTTCACTATAGAAATACAAATATAACATATTAATTTTAATTGATTTAATTTTAATTGTTTTAAACACATCAGTGGAAGTGATGGAGGTGACATTGAAGAGTAAAACAAAAACAAAAACTGGTACTCAGCACACGGTACTAAACCAGAATGTGGCTTATTTTGTTATAGCTTAGTGCAAAAGATGAACCCAGAGTAGTGGTTTGGAGATTAAGGGTGTTGGTTTATTAGTTTGTGTGAACAGTCCCTGTGTGGTGTCATGGATAATCGCAGTATTTGAACCCAGTCAATGTTAGGCTATAATATTATTAACATTTTCCTTGTTCTGGTCACAATTACATGGGAGAATCTAAATAGCTGTAAAAAAAATCTGTAATTTCAACTGAAATTTCCCCAGAAACTCCTAGTATTTAATATTCTATAGCAGAATTGTAAATACAGACAGTAAGAATTACGTTTTCTGCAGAAAAAACAGGTCAGGGCACATACCTGGGGATATTTTTAGTTTAAACATGCTTAGGATAAACCCCAAAACTTAACACACACACAAAAAACCCCCATCAAAGATCAGACTCAATGGACAACTAGGCTTTTTCTGCCATCAGTTTTCTATGTTGTCTAATACTTGGAAGAATAATACCGTGTTTCCCAAAAAATAAGACATCCCCTTATAATAAGCCTAATCGGGCTTTTGAGCGCATGCACTAAAACAAGCCTTCCCCAAAAATAAGCCCTCCCTGAAAATATTTAAACACATGTGCAGCAGGTCCCCGCCATTTCCTCTGGTTAGGGTTAGGGAGACAGAGCTGGAAATCAGGTAAGACGGCAAGAGGAACCCCGTCTTGCTCCATGGGCCCCAAAATAATAAGACCTCCCGAAAATAAGGCCAAGCGCTTATTTCAGGGTTCAAAAAAATATAAGACAGGTTCTTATTTTTGGGGAAACACGGGTAGCATAGTGAGAGATTGCTTCCCTTAATAAATCTCCTCATTTTAATGGATAAAGCATTTTGCCTCCCTCCACGGGGTCTCAGATATTATGACCTTTCTGATATGAAGTGATTGCTTCTTCCTTCTACTACATTTTCTAAACAGACAGATAAAAGCATTACTTCTTTTCTGTAGTTCATCTTCCTCCTTTGCATCTGCTTGTCTTTTAGCCTACCTGGACAACCCTACCTGGAGGAATCTTACAGAGAGCTCTGCTTTCAGGCTTTCTTGAGCCTCTTACAGTCTTCCAAAGAGACTGAAGTAGATGACATCACCTTTTGCATGGTAAGGACAAAGACAATTCTTTAGGAGAGAGGTGGGCAATAAGGGAGAGATCGGGGAATGACCGCCCAGCTTCCCTACTTTCAGGGAACTGCAGAATGCCATCTGATCTTTTGTGAGGGATAGGCTGAACTGTTTCAATCCTTTTTTTAAGGGAGGGAGGGCCCACTATTTCCATTCCCTCACCTATCTCATTCCAATATGTAATTTGAGAGTCAAGAAGCATAGCCAGATTTAGGAGCACTTCCCAGCTGCAGATCCAGTTTTTCAGGAGGAATACATTCCCACCAAAGCTCACCTTCAACTGGCTACCATCAAATACCACTTTATAAAACCTTAGTAAGGCCACACTTGGAATACTACATGCAGTTTTGATCGCCACAATGTAAAAAAGATGTTGAGACTCTTAGAAAGAGTGCAGAGAAGAGCACCAAAGAGGATTAGGCTAAAACATATGAAGAACGGTTGCAAGAAATGGGTATGTCTAGTTTAATGAAAAGAAGGACTAGGGGAGACATGATAGCAGGGTTCCAGTATCTCGGGACTGCCACAAAGAAGAGGGAGTCAAGCTATTCTCCAAAGCACCTGAAGGCAGGACAAGAAGCAATGGGTGGAAACTAATCAAGGAGAGAAGCAACCTAGAACTAAGGAGAAATTTGCTGACAGTTCGAACAATTAATCAGTGGAACAACTTGCCTCCAGAAGCTGTGAATGCTCCAACACTGGAAGTCTTTAAGAGATTGGATAACCGTTTGTCTGAAGTGGTGTAGGGTTTTCTGCCTAAGCAGGGGGTTGGACTAGAAGACCTCCAAGGTCCCTTGCAACTCTGTTATTCTAAAACACTTTTCTAAAACAATCCTCCTTGGGATTGTTATTTTTCTTTCCTCCGTTTTTCACCCTGGCTTCTATTTGCAGTTTCCCCATTCTCTTCCTGTCACTGTTAAAATAAAACCTGACTCGCCAGTATATTGTGGATGTAGAATGCCAAATCTCCATCTCTGTTAGTGATTTCCAGGAGAAACACAGCCCTGACACACTTGGAACAGACCTGCTAAAAACAGCATCTCCAACATGGACAGGAAAGCTTATTACATTCCAGAGATTGTAGAGCAGTATTTCTTAATCTCAGCAACTTTAAGATGGGCTCTCCAGAATGCTGGTTTGGGAATTCTGGGAGTTGAAGTCCACACATTTTAAAGTAGCTGAGGTTGAGAGAAACATTGATGTGGAGAGAACTACATCTGAGGGACAGAATGGGACAATTGAGCTATGTATTGTGTGGCTTCCTTGATCACCCTTTGGAAGTGGGTTAATTACCAATCCTGATGCTCTGAGTCAGTCTTCTCAGATAGGATTTAAACTGTGGGGTTCCTGGGTGCTCTCTGAGCTTGGTTATTTTCTTGCACTCATCCAAACTAATGGAACATCTGCAAGGGGAGAACCAAGCTCAGAGAGTACCAAGGACCCCACAATGCAACCCTGAGCTACAAATATTCTCCTTGATCAGTAGAATTTAAGCTGTTGCTTTAATTAAAAGCTGTGGCTTTTCCTGTAAGCATGCTTCAAGCGAAGCATTTCAGGATTTTCTTGTTGTGAACCTCTAACTGAAGTCCAAGAGAGGTAAATTGGGACATCATGTAATGGAAATCATGTCCCTGTATTATTAAACGTACTTTGGGGGACTGTCTGAGGTTGCTAATTAGTTGCTGGTGATAAAATTTAGAAATTGATTTCATGTGGAAAGATCTTACATAAGCCCAATGATTATTTATTCCAAACCACACGCTGAGTTTGCAATTAAAGTTGAGTGTGATACCGGTATTATTATTGAGCAACTTCTCAAACTCTAATCACTTGAGGGAAACTTTTTGCCCTTGGACTTTTATCACCTAGATAAAATTGCACTCTAGATCAGCGGTCATCAACTGGTGGTCTGCGAGAAAATTTTGGTGGTCCGCAGAAAAATTATTTGCATTTTTTATCTTGCACTAAATCAGGGGTCCTCAAACTACAGCCCCTGGGACAGATACGTGCAATGAACATTTGTGTTGCTGCAGAGAGTCTCCCCCTTCGGGGTCTTTTTGTGTGGGTCGGAGGGGGACAGAAATTCCAACTTGGAGTCTGCTTTGGCCTCAGTGCAGGGCTTTGGCCGAAGGCTGGAGGAAAGAGCCACTGGTGGTGAAGAGCCGGAGGGCCTTGTTCCAGTGGGACTGCATCATGGCCTGGAACTGGCTGACTATCTCAGCCCGCTGAGCCCCCAGGCGCCTGTACCTGGCCTTGCACTCCCGCAGGTCTTCCCTCTGCTTGGAAAGCCTATGCTTCTAGTCCTCAGTGAGGTGCTTCTACTGAGCCTCCTTCTTCGTCAGATCCAATTTGAACTGAGCTGTTCTGCCAACTCTTTCTCATGGTGGCTGCTTAGCTCCAACAACTGCTTCCTGTTGGGGCTCTAAGGAGCCCGGGCCGGGAGGCGAGGAGTGGCTGGGAGGGGAAGGGCGAGTAGAGGCTGGCGAGGCGCCACTCGACGTGACATTGAGGTGGCCATGCCCACCCAGTCACATGCCCACCTAGCCACGCCCACCCAGCCGGTCATTAGGCAGATCATATTAGTGGTCCGCGGGATTTAAAATTACGAATTTAGTGGTCCCTGAGGTCCGAAAGGTTGGTGACCCCTGTTCTAGATGATAGACTTGTGCTATTCCTGGATAGTTGGAAGAAGGCTCATTGTTTTTTTGTTTCCCTTCCAGCTGTTACAAAATGCTTTGAAGGGAATCCAGTCGCTCTTAAACGGAGGAAAGATGAGGCTGACCCAGACTGATCTCCTTGGTTCCCTCCTGGCTGTGTTAAAGGTGACAAGAGATTTAAAGTGGAAATCTTCCCTGACTTAACAGAGGTTCCCTGAGTGCCCCAAAAACAACCCTGAAAAAATTTTTGACGGGCCTTTTGTACTCAGATGTGTAGAATGCTTTTGAAATGCCTCTGGTTTCCAAAATTAGAATTGCACAAGCCACAGTACAGTACCCATAATTGATTTGATAGCAGTGAGCCAAGCAGCTTTGTTTTCCTCTTGGCATGTCTGTGAAGAAACGGTCAAGATCTACTACAGGTAGATTGTGGTCACAATTGGGGCCTGAATTTGTATTGGTAAGCAAGGTGGTTGATAAGTGAGTTGCACCCAATTTTATGAGCGTTATTGCCACAGCTGTTAAGTGAATCACATAGTCGTTAAGCAAATCCAACTTTCCCCATTGATTGGCTTGTTGGAAGCTGGCTGGGAAGACCTCAAATGGCGATCGCATGGCCCCAGAATGCTGCAACCATTATAAATACAGGTAATCCTCGACTTATGACCACAATTGAGTCCAGAATTTCTGTTGCTAAGTGAGAAATTTGTTAAGTGAGTTTGGCCCCATTTTAGGACTTTTCTTGCCACATTTGTTAAATGAATCATTGCGGTTGTTAAGTTAGTGACACGATTGTTTAAGTGAATCTGGCTTCCCCATCGACTTTGCTGGTCAGAAGGTCACAAAAGGGAATCACATGACCCTGGGAAACACCAACTGTCATAAATATGAACCCGTTGCCAAGCACCCGAATTTTGATCATGTGACCATGGGGATGCTGCAATAGTCATAAGTGTGAAAAATGGTTAAAAGTCACTTATTTCAATGCTGTTGTAACTTCATGTGGTCACTAAATGGACTGTTGTTAAGTGGAAGACCATCTGTACAAGTCAGTTGCCAAGTGATCATGTGACTATGGGGATTCTGTGATGGCTGTAAATGTGAGATCTGGTCTCACACTGAACTAAAGTCTGTGGTTTATTCAGTGTGGTTGAGCAATTGTTAAATGAATGGCTGTAAGTTAAGGACTATCTTATTGCTGTTTTAGGTACATCCCAATTTTTGTTGTTGCCGAAACTCAAAATGAGAGTAATAGCATCTATGTTTGTTTGAAGCAAATCACCTTATCCACCGTTTTGAGTGTGGGTGACACACAGAATAGGGCGAACTCCAAAATAGTAATGGAAGCGTCTCATCTTAAAGCCATATGGGGGTGGTGTTTGTCTCTGTACTGTGTATGTATAATGGGGGAGGCTAGACTGACATCTGTCACAATAATCCATCGTGCATTACGATGTCCAAAGATAGTTCGCAGCTGGTTTTACATGTCACCTTAAGCCAGAATGTGATTTGTGGTTTGAGCTTTGCATCCCAAATGCAAATCCAATAAAGCTTTGTACAACATGATTTTTAGTTCTGCTAAGGTGCGCGGCCCAAGCCATGATGCTTTATTCAGCAAACCATGATTTGGTGCGATGTGCTAATTCAATACCGTGTGCACAAAAACTGTTCTCTGTGCTTGGTAGATGTGCAAATGGAAATCATTGCTATCCTGAACAAATTACCAGCTCGTAAGAGTTTGGATTCCCATGGTATCCAAAGGATTCAGATCAGTTTTTGGACAAGCTTTGCATTAGACTTTTGTCATCCAGGGTATTAAATTTTACCCTATAAAATTATGATATCCAACTGATGTTTAAAAGAATAGATGGGGTTTTTTTTCTTTGTTTCAATAAAGGAGAATAGAGATAGTCCTTTACTTACAACATGTTCAGTTAGTGACCATTCGAAGTTACAACGGCACTGAAAAAATGTGGCATGACCATTTTTCACACTTATGACCATTGCAGCATCCCCAAGGTCACACGATTTATATTTGGATGCTTGACAACTGACTCACATTTATGACAGTTGCAATGTCCCGGGGTCATGTGATCCCCTTTTGTGACCTTGTGACAAGCAAAATCAATGGGGAAGGCAGATTCACTTAACAACTGTGCTACTAACTCAGGGGTTCCCGACCGGGGGTGCGAGACGATATTCCAGGGGGTGCGAAAACTTGGGTTTAGAAGTTTCAAAATTATAGTATATATCTATACGCTATATGCATATAATTGTTTGTCAAACATGTACAACATAGCAGGTATAAATATGAACACAGACATGAATGAAGGAAATGAATACAAAGAAATGGGGACACTACTGTAATGCTCTCTACATGAGGCTCCCCTTGAGGAGCACCTGGAGGCTCCAGCTGGTTCAGAGTGCGGCCGCGCAGGTGGTTATGGGAGCGACGTGGCGTTCCCATGTGACATCTCTCCTGCGCGAGCTGCACTGGCTCCTGGTGGTCTTCGGGGTGCGCTTCAAGGTTTTGGTCACCACCTTTAGAGCGCTCCATGGCTTAGGACCTGGGTACTTACGGGACCGCCTTCTGCCACCAGTAGCCTCTCACCGGCCAATATGCTCACATAGAGAGGGGCTCCTCAGGGTGCCGTCGGCCAAACAGTGTCGACTGGCGGCCCCCAGGGGGAGAGCCTTCTCTGTGGGGGCACCTGCTATCTGGAATGAGCTCCCCCCGGAGATACGGAAGATCCTGGATTTACGCACCTTCCGCTGTGCCCTCAAGACCTATTTATTTCAACAGGCTGGCCTGGCCTAACTTCTCTTTTAATTGTAACTTTTAAAATTGGTTTTAAAACAATAGGGGTGTTTTAAATTGTTTTGAGCCAAATTATTTAATGGGTTTTTATATTGTCTTTTAAATTTTGTAGTCTCTGTGTTTTATCCTTCTGGCTGTTCACCGCCCTGAGTCATTCGGGAGAAGGGCGGTATATAAATCTAATAAAATGAAAAATGAAAATGAGTAGGACAGGGACGATAGGCACGCTGGTGCACTTATGCACGTCCCCTTTATGGACCTCTTAGGAATGGGGTGAGGTCCACAGTAGACAGTTTGAAGTTGAAGCTGTGGGGGTTTGAGACTGTAACAATGGAGTTGGGTAGAGCATTCCAGGCGTTGACCACTCTGTTGCTGAAGTTGTATTTTCTGCAATCAAGTTTGGAGCAGTTTACCTTGAGTTTGTATCGATTGTGTGCCCATGTATTATTGTGGTAGGAGCTGAAGAAGTCATTGACAGGTAAGACGTTGTAGCAGACAATTTTATGTACTATGCTTAGATTGGACTGCAGGCGGTGCAGTTCCAGATTGTCCAAGCCCAGAATTTCAAGCTTGGTGGCATAAGGGATTCTGTTGTGAGTAGAGTGGAGTACTTTTCTCATGAAATACCTCTGGACCTGCTCAATCATGTTAATGTCAGCTATACAGTGTGGCGGATGAGCTGTATTCAAGAATTGGTCTGGCAAAGGTTTTGTATGCCCTAGTTAGCAATACAAAGTTACCGGAGAAGAAGCTATTTTTTTAAGGGGTGCGAGAATATATCAGAGGTGCGTAGTATAGAAAAGATTGGGAACCCCTGTACTAACTGAACATCTACAGTGATTCGCTTAACAACTGTGGCAAGAAAGGTCGTAAAGTGGGGTAAAAATGACTTAAACAACTGCCTCACTTAGCAACAGAAATGTTGGGCTCAATTTTGGTTGTAAATACCAAAGATTCTTTGCAAAAAAAAAGCAGATTTAATTTAATTTAAATTATCGTAATTAAGCACTAAGTAGATTATAGTGCTGATGTCTAGGATTTTCTTTGATGATTTCAGAAATGCATGTTTCATGGACTCCCTGGAATTAACATAGAAATGCCCAGCATCTTATATCCAGCACTCCTTCCTCAGTACGACAGCCGGTCACCCATCGAGCACGAGAAGTTGGAGCAGAACAGTGTTAAACTGAGCGGGGTAAATTTTTTAAATATGGTTTGTTTGCATTGTGCATTAAACTTAAGCCACTTCAAATGTAATCTGGTCACAAGCTGAGGGCTGTTTTTGTCTGTCTGGAAAAAAAAATGTAATGTTTTGGAAAAGGCACATTACAGCAGCGCCTGATATTCTGTACCGTACAGTAGTATTTCTGAACCTCGACCACTTTAAGCTGTGTGGACTTCAACTCCCAGAATTCCCCAGCCAGCCGGGGGAATTCTGGGAGACGAAGTCCGCAAAGCTTAAATTGCCAAAATCGAGAAACATTGCTGTAGAGCAGGGGTGTGAAACTCGATTTCATTGAGGGGTGCATCAGGGTTGTGTTTGACCTTGGGGTGCAGGGGTGGGCGTGGCCAGGGTGGGTGTGGCCACCTCGACGTCACTCATGTCGGGGGTGCCCATGGTGGCCCAAGCGCCCTGCCAGCGAAAGCGGGCTCCCAAGCTCCATTTCAGCTGCAACGGCCCCCTGCAACCCTCTGCCAGCAAAAACGGAGCGCAGGAGTGCCAAACACAGCCCTCCCAAACTCCGTTTTCGCTGGCAGAGGTACCGCGGGCCGGTCCTTCGCTGTTTCCAGGGCGGCCCCGTGGGCCAGATCAAAACACCCTGCGGTCTGGATCCTGCCCCCGGCATTGAGTTTGACGCCCCTGCTGTAGAGCAAAGCCTCTGTTTATAAGCATTTATCTGCCTTCATTAATTGCTGCTTATGGGGCTTCTAAATCCCATAATCTCCATGAATGGCAGTTTTAATTGGGGATGAGAGGTTTAACACAACTGGAGGGCAGCAGAATATGGAATGGAAATCCTGTTCTAGCTGACAGCTTCTTTTCATATTTTGAAACAGGGATTTCCCATTGCTAGAAGGAGATGCCAGGGATTTGAACGGGAAGCTTTCGCTTATAACCAAACAGGGTCTGAAAATTGGACTGGGTGGACTTCCAAAGCAACTGTTGTGAAACATGAAATACTCGTTTTACTTTGATTTAAATCCTGAGCTGGAGGCACTGTTAGCCGCATGGTGCCTTAAACGAAGGGAACAGGTCATACGTGTCAGGGTTCCAAGTAACACCCCCCAATGAAAGAAGATTCCGAGGCTAGAAGTTCCTCAAAGTTCCATTTTATTAGAGATGTCATATTGGCACATCTGGGAAAACCCGAATCTGAAAGTTTCCAGGTTTTCCCCACCCAAAGGAAAGTCCAAGTCCCTGCCCAGCACCCACATGTCCATCACGTGGTCCAATCAAAACACCATCCCAACGGGAGATGCCTCTCAGTCACACCCCTCCAGGTGCAGGGCAGGATGTCCTTGACTCTCTGAGAAAGGAATGTTATTATGGCTAGATATCTCTCCAACGCCATACAATTCCCCCTCCCAGTTTCCCACAGCACTAAATGTGGCAGCCTTGAAGATCCAAAGTAAAAGATGGCCTCCAGGACTGACAGCCCCCCCCCCCAACTGACGATCGTGTCCTGCAACGAGAGGAACATAGGGGGTTAACGCAATATTATCCAGTAAGAGCCTGGATAGCTCTGCAGACTAAGCACTGTAATTTAACACCAGCTGTCTGCAATTAAAGTAAGTTCGAATCTTGCCAGGCTCAAGGTTGACTCAGCCTTCCATCCTTTCTAAGGTAGGTAAATTGAGGACCCAGTTTGTGGGGGCAATAAGCTGACTTTGTATAAAATATACAAAAGTATGAAGGCTATTGCTTAACGCACTGTAAGCCGCCCTGAGTCTCCGGAGAAGGGTGGCATATAAATCAAATTAAATATATATATATATATATATATATTCCCTAACTACCTCTTCCCCTCCCTGGGGGAAATACCCTTTGGCTTATCAGGGTATTTATCATGGAATAAATCAGGGTATTTATCGTGGAGGCCTCTTAAATTGAGATAGATTTCTTGATGCCGAGAGAAAAATCCTACCCAGGCTATTCTATACTAATATTTAGAAAAACATTAGATGATTGGATTGATTAAAGAGCCGGGGTGGCGCAGTGGTTAGAGTGCAGTACTGCAGGCTACTTCTGCTGACTGCTGGTTGACTGCAATTTGGCAGTTCAAATCTCACCAGGCTCAAGGTTAACTCAGCCTTCCATCCTTCCGAGGTGGGTCAAATGAGGACCCAGATTGTTGGGGGCAATAGGCTCTGTAAACCACTTAGAGTGGGCTTTAAAAGCACTATGAAGAGGTGTGTAAGTCTTAAGTGCCATTGCTAAAGAGAACTGCATGTAATTCATGGAATTGAAAAGACTTGCGTTTGTATCATTTCTGCTCCCCACAACCACTGCTAACAGAACAGGAGGAAGAAACCTAAAGGCAAACCGAAGAAAGGGAAGCCGGAAGAAGCAGCAGGTGCCGCAAAAGAGCAACCAGTGTGTGCCGAAGGAAGCAGAGTAGAGAAACCCTCATTAAAGGATGAGTTCTCGCAAGATCGGGACTCTAAGATGACAAACTGGGCATTCAGTGATAAATACCCTTCCCTTGCGAAAGAGCGTTTACCTTCCCACGCTTTCAGCTGGAAGAGAATCAGCAGCAGTGACTCAGAATATTCTGATGCGGAAGGTGGAATGCAGAGCAAAACAAGGTTTGTGATGGCAACCACTCAACACCCCCCCTCTTCTCCCCCGCTGCCTTTATGCAGCGTTGAAGTGCGTGTTCATTTTACAGCAAGCGTGGCTGAATTCTCTTCGACTCTCGTTCTTTCAAAAGCAAGGATTTTTTTTTTCCTCGCTTGGTTTCTTCAGTCCCATCCCTGCCTCTGTTGGTAACAAATGCAGGTGGTCCTCGACTGAACGACCGCTAGGTGAGACTGTTGTTAAAGACGGCTTTTTGCCACAGTTGTTATTTGAATCACTGCAGTTGTTAAAAGTGAGTATCATGGTTGTTAAGTGAATCTGATTTCCCCATTGACTTTCCTCGTGAGAAGGTCTCCAAAGGGGGATCGGTAACCCCGCGACACTCCAACCAGCCGTCATAAATACGAGCCAATTGCCAAGCCTCTGAATTTTGATCACGGGGAAACTGCAACGGTCCTAAGTTTGAAAAAACGGACGTAGGTCACTGTTTTTAGCGCCGTTGTAACTTCGAACAGTCACTAAACGAAAAGTTGTAAGTCAAGGACTGCCTGTATTGAGAAGAGCAAAGAGAGGGTTTTTCTATTTATTTATGGGTTAATATTTATTTATTTATTTATTTATTTTGTCGCATTTCTATGCCGCCTAACTGCCAAGGGATTCTGGGCGGCTTACAACAGAGAATAAAATAATGCAACAATATCCCATACAAAAGTTAAAAGAAGACATTAAAACATTAAACATCAATACTGCCTACTGCCTGCTTCAAATGACACATGGCAATTTGCCTCTGTAAAAACTAAAACCATGGCAACAAATACCATCGACACCCTCAACCGTGGTATCCTTCCTGATCTCAGAGGATCGGGAGTGGCATCATGGTTCTGTGCTGGGTTGCCTCCTTTTTTCTGGGGTTGATTCCAGGCAATGATGACTGGGGAAGGGCAGACACACCCTCCCCAGGAGGATGCTGTAAGGCTTGATGCTCCCCCTTTTCTTATTTAACATCTAGGCGAAGCCACTGTGTGAGCTCATCTGTTACCATGGGATGAGGTATCATCAATATGTTGACAAATTAAGCAATTAATGTGCAATCGTATCTCAGTGCTTGGAGACTGAGGGTATGGATAGGGAACATCCGGCTTCAGCTGGACAGTATCAGAGTTGGAAGGGACCTTGGAGGTCATCTAGTCCAACCCTCTGCTCTCGCAGGAGACCTATACTATTTCTGATAAACGACTGTCCGGTCTCTTCTTAAAAACCTCTGGTGATGAACCACCCCACAACATCTGGAGGCAAGCTGTTCCACTGATCAATTGTTCTCACTGTTAGGAAATTTTCACCTTAGTTCTAGTTTAGTGCTTCTCTCCTTGGTTAGTTTCCATCCATTGGATCCTCTTAACTTTCCAAAAGCCTTTCGGGATCTGGCTAATGTCATCCTGCTTGGGGTCCCCAAGGAACTCGGGAGACATTGCGATGTCCTCCTAACCGTGATTAATATTATCCTCTCTTGTCCTTGTGCTTTTTGTACTTTTTAACAATGAAGGTTTTTATAAATTTATTGGGGTTTTTTAAACGAACAATTGTATGCCGCTCAGTTTCACTTTTTTTGTGAGATGGGCATCGCAAACAATACAACATTCAAATGAAGACATTTGAAATTTCCTGACAGAACAATGAATCAGTGGAAGGTCCTGCCTCCAGAAGCTGTAGGTGCTCCATCACTGGAGGTTTTCAAGAAGAAACTGGACAACCATTTGTCTGGAATGGTATAGGGTCTCCTGCTTGGGCAGGGGGTTGGACTAGAAGACCTCCAAAGTCCCTTCCAACCCTATTATTCTATGTTCTATATTCTAAGATCAAAGACTTTCCCCCCTGCCTATTTTGACCAATGGGACAATGTCATTTACTTAAGGTGTTAAATCAGTTTCCCCCCCACTCTTGCCTGTTTATATTTTGTTTCTATTTCATGCCAGGTCTTTCCAAGCTAAAGTTCGCCAAGGGGCTTTAACCTGCTTCCTTTCCGCTGTGAAATCCATAGAGAAGAAAGTCCTCTATGGTTACTGGTCAGCATTTATTCCTGATGAACCTGGAATAGGAAGCCCACAGACAGTGTCTTTGATGACAATTGCTTTAAAGGATCCTTCCCCTAAGGTAAGAGGATTCGTTATCTTTGTAAGGTCTACCCGTCCCATAAGATCCAGCATATGCTCTCTTCCAAGCACTTGTTGCAATAGAATAGGATTCAATTCAGTTCACTTTATTGTGGTCATGGAACACTGCAAGCAGAATGCTCCATCCCACTCCACTCCACTCCACTCCATTCCATTTTATTTACCTTACCCTACCCTACCCTACCCTACCCTACCCTACCCTACCCCACCCCACCCTACCCTTCTCTTACCCCACCCTACCCTACCTTATCCTACCCTACCCTTCCCTATCTTACCCCACCCTACCCTACCTTACCTTACCCTACCCTACCTTTCTCTATCTTACTCCACCCTATCCTATCCTATCCTATCCTATCCTATCCTATCCTACCCTACCCTACCTTACCTTATCCTATCCTATCCTATCCTATCCTATCCTATCAAAAATAAATAAAATAAGGTTTAAGACAGAGTAAAAACAACTCAACAAACATCTATACGTGAGGTCCAGGATGCAGGAGTATAATTGAATATGCTTTTTAAAGAGAGTTCAGTCCAATTCACTCTAAAGTTCGTCCACTGGCACTCTGGCCCTTTATCATTAAAGCCCTTTATAACACCAAAGAGCTATAAAGGGCTTTTGCTAAAGGAAGGCTATGCTAAGGGAGCGATCAATGGCTCAGACCCTCTCTGCCTTCCATAGGTCAGCCAGGACTTCTGGCGGTATCCTTGAGAACTGATGTAGGGCTCCATCAGGTGCCTCGGCTCAACTTCTTTATTGATTTTTGTTCTGTTGCAGACCCGGGCCTGTGCTTTTCAAGTTCTCTCCTCCATTTTGGAAGGTTCCAAGCAATTCCTGTCCATTGCCGAAGATGCCATTGATCACAAAAGAGCATTCACACCCTTCTCGGTGAGCATTGCGTCCAGCATCCGAGAACTTCACCGGTGTATGCTGTTGGCTTTGGTGGCCGAATCTTCGTCCCAAACCCTCACCCAGATAATCAAGGTAAATGTTTGTCTACAGAAGTTGCTTTTGTTCTGCTAGTTCTGGGTAACAGAATAACAGCGTTGGAAGGGACCTTGGGGGTGTTCTAGTCCAACCCCTTGCTCAGGTGGGAAGCCCTATACCATTTCAGGCAAATGGCTGGTCCAATCTCTTCTTAAAAACCTCCAGTGATTGAACATCCACAACTTTTGGAGGCAAATCGTTCTCATTACCATATTTTTTGGAGTATAAGACACATGTTAGCCCCCCCAAAAAATGGGTGGAAATATCTGTGCGTCTTGTACAGCAAATGTTGCCGAAGCCCCACCCACCCGCCAGCCCCCACCCACCGGCCTCTGCCTACCAGCAATTTGCTTCCTTGTAGCAAACAGCGTGGTCAGCACAGCCCGATTTAGCACGAGCAGCTGAATGGCAGTTGGATCTGTCTCCCGGAATACCTCCGATCAGCTGTTCCAGGCTGCAAGGATCTCTGCAGTGGTGGGTTCCTCCCGGTTCGGTCCGGTTCGGCCGAGCCAGTAGCAGTGACGATATGACGTCACCGAACCGGTTCTCCCCCCCGCCCTCCCACCCCCCCACCACGTTATTCTTACCTTTTATTTGGTGCCACCACCAATCTATTGCTGCCTCCTGAGTCCCAGCTGATGACTAGAGGGAAAAAAACCATTTAAACTCTTGCCGCGGGGCTTCAAAGGGCTGTCCTACAGCTGATCAGTGTTAAAAGCAAACAAATGAGTTGGGTCGTAAGTGCGAGGACTGGTCGTAAGTGCGAGGACCTTCCAGAAATGACTCTGACCAGCTAGCCACGCCCACCTAGTCACATGACCTCCAGACCACGCCCACAAAATAAGCCACGCCCACAGAACCGGTAGTAAAAAAATTTAGAATCCACCCCTGGATCTCTGATGCCTATCAGCGCTGGCACCGCCTAGCGTCGCTGCCACCTATTGCTGCCTCCGCACACCCCATTTTCGGCCTCCGTGCGCCCCATTTTCAGCCTGTTCCAGGTGGCTGAGATAGGCAGCAGCAACAGTAATTGTTCTCACTGTCAGGAAATTTCTCCTTAGTTACAGGTTGCTTCTTAGTTTCCATCCACTGTTTTACATAAAAGATGATTCAAAGTTAATTGCAAAGGTTTGTCTTAATTATTTTACATCATCATTACTTTTCTTCCTCCTATTGTCGGTAGAGTGACATTACAGCAGTCCTAGCCACACCTTGCTAATCCAGTTTTCTCCAGCCGAGACCCCTCCATGAAGGAGCTGGTTCTATACAGGTAGTCCTCGACTTACGACCACAATTGAGCCCAAAATGTATGTTGCTAAGTGAAAAATATGTTAAGTGAGTTTTGCCCCATTTAATGAACTTTCTTGCTGCAGTTGTTAAGTTAGTAACATGGTTGTTAAGTGAATCTGGCTTCCCCATTGACTTTGCTTGTCAGAAGGTCTCAAAAGGAGATCACATGATCCCGGGACTCTATAACCATCATAAATATTTGTCAAGTGTCTAAATTTTGATCATACGATCATGAACTGTTGTAAATCGAGGATTACCTGTAATCTCCAGACAATCCATTTAATGTAGCACATTTGAGTGGCTCCATGTTGGAAGATGATCCCTATGAGACCAACTTTCAAATGATAACAATTGTATATTTGTATATGTGTGTGTGAGTGTGTTTGTTTATATGTCTTCAAATCAGTCATGAGGGTGACCGCCTGGACAAGTCCCTTGTTTTCTTGGCAACATTTTTTGGAAGTGGTTTTCCACTTCTTTCTTCCTATGGCTGAGAAAGAGGAATAGACCCAAACTCACCCAGGTTTCTTTTGTGGCTAAAGGACGAGTAAAATGCACACTCTCTTGCCTTCCAATCTAGTGCCTTTAATTGCTGCAACAAATCGACTTGCTTCATTATACTTAAGGCATTTAAAATAGGAATAGGGACAGAGGTGGTATTCAGCCGGTTCATGTGAACCGGGAGCTGAAATAGCAGGTGGGCTTGCCCACCTGCTCTGGCTCTATGCCGTCTTATTCAGGGACATTTTTGAGGCCAGGTGCATCCGCGGAAGGTGCACGCACGAAGCAAACCGCTGGTAACAAAATGTGAAACCCACCGCTGGATAGGGATAGGGATAGGGATAGGGATAGGGATAGGGATAGGGATAGGGATAGGGATAGGGAAGGATAGGATTGTTCATTGGCCAAGTCTGATTGGACATACAAGGAATTTGTCTCTGGTGCATAAGCTCTCAATGTACATACAAGCAACAAGTGATAAATCACGATCATAGTCATCATAAAAATACCCTGTTTCCCCAAAAATAAGACACCCCCTGATAATAAGCCCAATCAGGCTTTTGAGCGCATGCGCTAAAATAAGCCTTCCCCCCCCCCAAAAAAATAAGCCCACCCCGAAAATATTTAAACGCAGAGCTGGAAATCAGGTAAGACGGCAAAAGGAGCCCCATCTTGTTCCATGCGCCCCAAAATAATAAGACCTCCCCGAAAATAAGGCCAAGCGCTTATTTCGGGGTTCCAAAAAATATAAGACAGGGTCTTATTTTCGGGGAAACACAGTACATTCATCATAAATCATAAGATAGAACATAGGATACTAGTGATAGTCATAGAATACTAAATATAGAATACTAAATATAGAATACTAAATAAGCAACGTAAGTCATACTAGGATATTAAATAAAACAATATATGTTGTAAGATACAAGCAACAAAGTTATAGTCATAAGAAGATAAGGAGATAGGTAACAGGAAAGATGAGAAGAATAATAGTAATATAGTCTTACTAGATAGTTTGACAGTGTTGTGGGAATTATTTGTTTAGCAGAGTGATGGCATGTGGGAAAAAACTTTGTGTCTATTTATTTATTTATTTATTTATTTATTTATTTATTTATTTATTTATTTATTATTTGTTTATCTAGTTGTTCTGGCGTTCAATGCCCTATGGTAGTGATGGCTAACTTTTTTGCCATCGCCTGCCAGGAGCGAGGTGGGGGTGGGGGTCGCACGCGCGTGCCAACACCCATAATTCTATGTGCCCTGCCCCTGCTCCTGCCATGTGATGGCACGGTAGCTGATTTTCGGGCCTTCTGGACCCACCGGAAGTCGGCAAACGGGCTGTTTCTGGCCTCCGGAGGGCTCCAGGGAGGGGGAGGGGAAGGCCATTTTCTGCCTCCCCAGACTCCTAGAAAGGCTCAGGAGGCTAGGGAGAGAGAAAAACGGGCCTTCCCCACAACCTCCCAAGGTCCTCCAGAGGCAGGAAATAGCCTGTTTCCCTACTTCTGGTGGGCCCAGAAGGCCCGAAAATCATCTGGCTGGCACGCGCATGCGCACCTGAGCTGAGCTCATGTGTCCACTGATACAGGTTCACATGCCATCTGTGGCACGCGTGGCGTCGGTTCGCCATCACTGCCCTATGGCGTCGTCTTGAGGGTAGAAGTTGAAAAAGTTTATGTCCAAGATGTGAGAGGAAATTTAGCTGGAAAAGCTTAACAGAGCACTAAAAGATTAAGAAAAGGACAGTCCTCACCCTCCTCCTTAAACTGACATGCCCCCCCTTCCTCAAAGGAAAAAGGTGGTGTGGGAAATAAGAAAATAGGATGTTAAAACAGGATCCTAATCCCTCTTTCACGCAGGTAGTCCTCAATTTATAATCATTTGTTTAGTGACTGTTCAAAGTTACAACGGCACTGAAAAAAATGATTTACGACCATTTTTCACACTTATGACGGTTGTAGCATTGCCCATGGGCCCGTGAGGGAAATTCGAACTCTTGGCAACTAGCATATCCCTAGGTCAGAGGCCTTCAAACTTAGCAGCTTTAAGACTTGTGGACTTCAACTCCCAGAATCTCCAGCCAGCAAAGCTGGCTGGAGAATTCTGGGAGTTGAAGTCCACAAGTCTTAAAGCTGCCAAGTTTGAAGACCCCTGCCCTAGGTCATGTAAGAAGGGGCCTGGTGGCGCAGCTGGTTAATAGCCTGTTATTAACATTCAGCTGCCTGCAATTACTGCAAGTTCGAATCTCCCCAGGCTCAAGGTTGACTCAGCCTTCCATCCTTTCTAAGGTAGGTAAATTGAGGACCCAGTTTGTGGGGGCAATAAGCTGACTTTGTATAAAATATACAAAAGTATGAAGGCTATTGCTTAACGCATTGTAAGCCGCCCTGAGTCTCCGGAGAAGGGCAGCATATAAACCAAATTAAAAAAAAAAAATCACCAGCAGCTTTTTGGCAAGCAAAGTCAACGGAGAAGCCAAACTCACTTGAACAACCGTATTACTAACTTAACCCTTGCAGCAATCCACTTGACAACTGCGGTAGGAAATGTCGTAAACTGGAGCAAAACTCAACTGAACATCCGTCTCTGGAGATTCTCAGTCACCCAGGTCATGCTTGTCCCAAAGGTCCCTTTTCAAAAAGGCAACTGGACTTCCTCGTTTGTTTTGTTTTGTTTGAAAATGTTTTGCTTCTCATCCAAGAAGCTTCTTCAAGTTCCGACTTCAATCAGAACTGAAGAAGCTTTTTGGATGAGAAGCAAAACATTTTCAAAGGAGAAACCCCCCCTCCCCCCAAGAAAGTCCAGTTGCCTTTTGGAAAAGCCTCTTTGGGTCACTGTCTTGCTTAGCAACGGAAATTTTGGGCTCGTTTGCGGTCCTAACTCGAGGTAATTTTTCATCTCTTTTCCTTGTTGACAGTGCCTTGCCAATCTGGTGTCAAATGTACCGTACAACCGTTTGAAGCCTGGTCTGCTATCAAGAGTATGGAACCAGATAAAGCCATACATTAAACATAAAGGTATGCAGTTATTTTATTTTATTTTTATTTTTTTAATTTGGTTTATATGCCGCCCTTCTCCGGAGACTCAGGGCGGCTTACAATGCGTTAAGCAATAGCCTTCATACTTTTGTATATTTATACAAAGTCAGCTTATTGCCCCCACAAACTGGGTCCTCATTTTACCTATCTTAGAAAGGATGGAAGGCTGAGTCAACTTTGAGCCTGGGGAGATTCAAACTTGCAGTAATTGCAGGCAGCTGAATGTTAATAACAGGCTATTAGTCTGCTGCGCCACCAGGCTCCTTTTACACATTAAACACATTTACACATTTTACACATTATACATTTTACACATATCCTTTGTGTAGCCATTTTGTTGCTGGTATTATTTGCAGTAAAACGTATTGTCCAGCTGGTTGTTTTGGGGATGAAGCAACATTGTGTGTGCCAGTTACAGAAGCATCAGATGGTGGGGTACAACAGGTTTATATCCCATCTGTTTTTAGACGTTTTGCTCGTGGATTGGGGGTTTTTTCCCTCAGATCACAAATTTTGTTCTTTTAAGAGACACAAATACACAAAAGTCGGCTGAATACCTAATGCTGTTTAATTTGAAGCTTTTTTCCCCTTGTGTCTTTCTGAACTGGACCATTTTCCAGCCTTCCTTGCATAGTTCCCATCTTCTGGAGTGCTTGCTGTTTCTTTTCCCAGCCCCATTCTGATTGCTGCGCCCCTTCTCAAGTGGTACAGGCAGTAGGCTTGGATTTCCAGGCTGTTCTGTGACATTGGGCACAGGGGTGGGCTTCAAAATTTTTAGCAAGGGGTTCTCTGCCCGGTTGCTGGGTTGGTGTGACCATGGTGGGCGTGGCCTAGTCGGCCTCCTGCACCACAGCCGGGGGGGGGCTTTCCTCGAGCCTCCGGGAGGATGAAAACGGCCTCCCCAGGCTCCAGAGGCCCTCTGGAGGCCAGAAACGGGGAACTTCTGGTAGGCCCTTTTTTCGCCCTCCCCGAGCCTCCCCGCGTGCCCTGCACTTACTTGCATCCGGCTGTGTGGGGACTCTGGGGAGGAGGGGTGGGTGGGGCCAGCCAGGCGTAAGATTTGGGGGTTCTCCAAACTGCACATAATCTTAGCTAGAGGTTCTCCCGAACCCCAAGCAGGCCACCCCTGATTGGGCACCATCTGTAGCCGTTGCTCCTTTCCTCTAGAATCTATAATTCATTAGGGTGCCATCTTCCTTTGGCTTAGAGTCACTGCTTCATGCGTGCCATCTGTTTATTTTTTTATTATTCCTAGATGTTAATGTTCGAGTCTCGAGTCTGACTTTACTGGGTTCCATCGTATCGGCTCAAGCCCCTTTGCCCGAGGTGCGTCTCCTTTTGCAGCAGCCCGTCTCTTTGGGGATGAGCGATGGCACACCCACCCTGCTGCTTCGTTCCGGTGCACCTGAATGGCGTAGAGAACCTACTCTGGTCTCAGGAGAACCACTGCTTGCCCCGGAGAAGATGCCAACTGAGCCCTGTTGGCTCCTGCGTCTCTGCATCTCTCTTGCTGTGTTGCCCCGAGAAGATTGCTATTCGGATAGTGACACCAGCTGTCTGTCAACGGTTAGCGCCTATGAGCCCTCGCCAGTTCGCCTGGAGGCATTGCAGGTAGGTGGATAAGGAGAGACAGCTGGTTGGTTGCTAATAGAATCTATACCAAGGGTGTCAAATTCAAAGGCCGGGGGCCAGATCTGGAACCCACTTAACCCTGTAAACAGCAAAGGACTGTCCTGTGTTGCCTCTGCCAGTGAAAATGGAGCTCTATTTTCACTGGCAGAGAGTTGCTGGAGCCTGTCGCAGCCGAAAATGGAGCTTGGAAGGGCTCTGGGCAGCCCTCCTGAGCTCCGTTTCCGCTAGTAGAGGGTTGCAGGAATCCATCACAGCCGACAACGGAGCTCGGGAGCCCGTTTTTGCTGGCAGAACGCTCAGGCCACCACACACGCGCCTGACATACGTGATGTTGAGCTGGCCACACCCACCCTAGCCACACCCACCCTGCCCCCCCTCCCAAGGTCAAATACACCCCTGATGCGGCCCTCAATGAAATCGAGTTTGACACCCCCTGATCTATACCCATCCGATTTGATTCCGCAAATTGGACACGTTGCGGATCCTGTCAACCTGTTGGGAATTAGAAGATGGGCCTTCTCTCCTGTAGCCTCTGCCTTGTGGAATATTCTCCCGTGAGGGATTAGAATGGCCCCAATCTTTGGAACATGTTAATGCCCCCATTTCTTGGTTTTACTGTTAGTTGACGAACTATCTCGGCTGCTGTACACCTTTATTTTTGGATGCTTTTATTGTTTTAATCGCATTTGTGGTGGAATCTGATCCTGAGTTGTAAGAGGGAGCAACAATTCAGGCTTGAATTGTTGCAGGAAGCAGCTGCAGGAGGGATTCCTCTCTTAATTTCTTTCAGCATTTTTCAGATAGTTTGAGTGGTGCGGTGGCCTAGAGGTGGAGCTCTCGCCTCACAATCAGAAGATTCTGAGTTCGATTCTAGGTAGAGGCAGATATTTCTCTCTTTGGGCACACTGAGAATATATCTGCTGAAAAAAAAAACTTCTGCATTGGCAACAGGAAGGGCATCCGGCCAGTAAACACCCAGCTCCATTCAGTTGCCCAGACTCCATCCCGCAAGGGATTATGGGGTCGTTAAAAAAGGATGATGATTTATCAGATAGTTGTGTAGAGTATACTTTAATCTGGCAGGAGTTTATTTATGGGTGAACATAGAATCAAAAAATTGCTCTGAGCTTTTATACGTGCTATTCTTGATTTCCCGTGCCTGGTAGTTTTAGAGCAATAGCAATAGCACTTAGACTTATATACTGCTTCATAGTGCTCACAGCCCTCTCTAAGCTGTTTACAGAGTCAGCATATTGCCCCCAACAATCTGGGTCCTCATTTTATCCACCTCGGAAGGATGGAAGGCTGAGTCAACCTTGAGCCGGTGAGATTTGAACTGCCGAACTGCAGCTACCAGTCAGCTGAAGTAGCCTGCAGTGCTGCACTCTAACCACCGTGCCACCTCGGCTCTTATAGTTTTAGAATTGCAAGCCGCCCAGAGTCACTTGGCTATGATGGGCCGCTATAGAAACGGATAGATTGGTTGATTGATTGATTGAATACATAGGTATTGCTAAATAACTAAATAGAGATAGAGAAGAAAAAATGGTAATACTGTAGTAGGCCCAGAGCCTGGGACACGAGCAGATCGTCTGTAACATTGCTCCCAACGCTATTAAAGAGATGCAGAAATCATTCCCAGCACAGTTACAACTGAGAATGCTCCTTCTTAGCTTCCACTGTTCTAACTTAATTTAGGATGCATTAGATACTAGAACCTTGCTCTGGGGTACATCCTTAAATAGTGTTCAGTTTGCAAATTAATCTGAAAGTCTACGGGAAGTGACAGTACATCTGTTCACCTTTAATATGCTGGATAGTTTATTGCAATTTTTCAAATATCAGCTGACAGAAATTATACTGCGCATTTAGTTTTATTTATTTTTTAGTTTACTCAATTGATATAGGTGCCCAGTTTGTATAAACAACTCTTGAGTGGCAAACACTATTTAAAAATATTAATATAAAATTCAAAATAAAAATAAGAATATGCGACAAGAATAAAATGAAAAAACGGCAGCCATCTTTGATCACAGTTGCTGTTGGCAATGATATTGAAATAGCCATTTAGATATGTTCACAGTCATATGATAGGTTTCCTTAACTCCCATTATGTTTCTTCCCTTTCCTTCCCTTCCCGGCTTCGATCTACTACAGGTTTTAGCGCTGCTTGTGAAGGGCTATTTTATTCTTGCTCAAAGCTGCTTACTAGAACTTGGCGAAGTGGCTTGTAAATGCATGGAGGAAGCAGATCCATCACTTCAGCTCCATGGGGCAAAAGTAAGTACTAATATTCTTTTAATGCAGATGTGTTCATCCTGCAGCCCATGGGCCACATGTGGCCCTGGACAGCTAATAATGTGGCCCCATAAAAATATTTTTAAAACTGAAAGATATACATTATACATGTATATGCATTAACTATACTATATTTATTATTATTTATTTATATATGTTATCTATTTATATACAGTGGATTAACTAAATTATATATTTTATATGCGGTCCAAGACAATTTCTCTTCACTCAGTGCAACCCAGGCAAGCCAAAAGGTTGGACAATCATGATTTAAAGCTTTGGAGAAAATATTTTTTTGTTTAATATGTGTTGATTTTAAGGATAATGGTTTATATCTTACAGAAATATTGATTCCTTGTTGATAAAGATGTTTTCTTATAGGAAATCCCTAAAGAAACGTAGCTTTACATGATTTTTTTAAAAAACAAAATCCAGTTGTGCATATTGTATTAAAAAATGGCTTGATTCAAAATGGCTTATTTTGTGATTCAGAGCCTCCATTTGATGATTTAAATTACTAAACCATACTTAGATGCTGGAGTTAAATGTTATTCATACAAAAAAAGTGAGAATATTTCAAAGAAACCAACAGGATTTTGGTTTATTCTAAAAAGAAGCAAAACCTATCAATAATGAGAGTCACGTTAAGCTATAGTTACTACATAAACAACTCCTGAATAACTTAATCCAGATTAAACCATACTGTGATTTATTGCAATATTAGTTCTGGTCCAGAACAGGTAGACCTCAAGTTACGACCATAATTGGGGCAAGACTTTCTGTTGCTATGTAAGGCGTCTGTTAAGCGAGTCATGTCTGATTTTATGACCTTTTTTGCCACAATTGTTAAGCAAATCACTGCAGTTGCTAAATGAATCATGCAGTTGTTAAGTGAACCTGGCTTATCCCATTGACTTTGCTTGTTGGAAGCCAGCTGGAGTGGTGGCAAATGGGGAATCACATGACCTCAGGATGCTGCAGCTGTTATAAATACAGGCTGGTTGCCAAACGCCCAAATTTTGATCGTGTGACTGTGGGGATGCTGCAACCATCATAAGTGAGAAGATTGGCTGTAATTCACTTTTTTTAATGCCTTTGTATCTCTGAATGGATGCTAGATGAATGTTGTAAGTTGAAGACTACCTGTATAACTGTCTCTATATGTTATCTTGCTTTGCAAACCCATAATATTCGTTTCTAATATTCCTTTCTTTTTCTTGTTTCTGGCAGCTTCTGGATGAACTTGGAGTGGGTATAATACAACAGTACAAGCCAGACCTAGTTGCAGATCAGCGGGTACCCATTGACTTGGTATGTCTTGTACTATTAAGGTATTGTAGCAATAGCACTTAGACTTATATACCGCTTCACAGTGCTTTACAGCCGTCTCTAAGAGGTTTACAGAGTCAGCATATGGCCCCCAACAATCTGGGTCCTTATTTTACCGACCTCGGAAGGATGGAAGGCTGAGTCAACCTGGAGCCTGTTGACATTTGAACTGCCAAATAGCAGGCAGCCGGCAGTCAGCAGAAGTAGCCTGCAGTACTGCACTCTAACCACTGCGCCACCACAGCCCCTTATAAAATATAAAATAATTATATTTTCTGTCCCCCGTTTTGTTTTTCTTTATTACTTATTTATTGTATGGTACATTCCCATCACATTTCAAATAAAAAGCACAAGAAACAAAAATGTAAAATATAAAATATTACAAACGTATATCTACAGTTATAATGTTTTGCTTCGTTTATCGCAGCCAGGAAATTGGCTTTGGGTTGTTTTTTTTAAATTTGGAACATTTTCTTCCCATCTCCAATTGAAAAAGTGTTTTTTTTTAGGTAACTCAATTAACAAACAGTAGTAAAGAGGCCCCTATAAATCACAAAGATAGAATAAAAATTCAACAGGAAAGGTAAATAAAGTAAACTTGACCTCCAGATCTTAATTTACTTGTTAGAAAGGGCAGCTGGAATGAAAAATAATTCAAAGGAAGGAAGTCAAAAGATAATGATTGCCTTTTGACTAAATTTGACACCTGATTGACTAATTTAAAATCAGTAGGAATCAAGTCTTGCCTTGAAAAACAATTGAAGCCATTTTCTGGAGGAAGAGACGATGGACCAGTTCCTTTTTCTCAGCCCAACTCCCTCACAGGGTTGTTGTTGGGAAAATAGGAAGAGTAGAGATTATTCTGTACAGTATTTGTTGCCTTGTGTTATTTCTAATAATAATAACAGTGGAATTAAAAAACTAATCAATAAAATAAATAAAATACATGAATGAGTGCAAGATGTGCTTTACAAACAATAGCCTTTGCTTTAATTCATTCATATCTTGATTAATAGTAAGAGCCATGGTGGTGCAGTGATTAGAATGCAATATTGCAGGCTAACTCTGCCCACAGCCAGGAGTTCAATCCTGACTGGCTCAAGGTTGGTAAAATGAGGACCTAGATTGTTGGGGGCAGTATGCTGACACCGTAAAGCACTCAGAGGGTGTAAAGCACTATTGGGTGGTATATAAATCTCAGTGCTAGTGCTATTCATAAAAACATCTCTCTCTGTAAATGAAACTGCCATGCTTCTCTTTTCCACCGCATAGGTTGTGACATTCTGGACAAGGATGCTGAATGGACCTTTACCAGCTGCCCTCCAAAATGCCGAGCACCCAACTCTCCAGACCAGTACATGTGATGCCCTCTCCTCTATTTTGCCCGAAGCTTTTAGCCGTCTCCCTGTAAGTACATGGCTAGGACCTAGTTTTGCAAATTCAAGATTTGAAAGCCATAAATAAATGTTGTTTCGTTTTGCTGGCAGAGATGCTTGCTGAGACTGGGAAGCTGGCAAAATGGCATAGAGTCACTTCATGTTGTGAACTATTGCATCTGTTGAGAACTATATTGCTTCTGGTGCCCCCTGCTGTAAGTGTAGGAGAAGAGCAGGCAGAGGTGGGGGGCAGAGTTAAGCAGGTCATCAGCTTTGAATTGTTACATTCCCACAAATGATCCAAGTCCATCCCTTTTGAATTCTGTTGACCATTATCTCATACAGATAGTCCTCTACTTACAACCGTTCATTTAGTGACCTTTGACGTTACAATGGCACTGAAAAAGGGAGTTATGACCATTTTTCACACTTACCACCATTTCAGCATCCCCATGATCACGTGATCAAAAACCTCATGCTTGACATTTGACTCATATTTACGACGGTTGCAGTGTCCAGGGGTCACTTGATCCCCTTTTGTGACTTTCTGACCTGCAAAGTCAATGGGGGAAACCAGATTCACTTAAGAACCGTGTTACTAACTTAACAACTGCAGCAATTCACTTCTTGCCAACTTTGGCAAGAAAGGTCATAAAACAGGACAAAACTCACTTAACAAACGTTTCATTTGGGCAGTAGAAATTTTGGGCTCAATTGTGGTCGTAAGTCGAGGACTACCTCTATTGAACCTTATTGACTAAATTCTTGTGTATAGCTTGAGCAATAAATCATCTTAACTGCCACTTGATGGTATGGTCCTAGTTCTTTGCACCTGAGACTAAGTCGTTCTAAAAAGGGGACACTGTGCCAGTACTTTGCCTTCCTTTGGCACTGCCTCAGTTTCTACGTTGAGCCTTTTAATTTACTCCTGTGATGAAACACATTAGTAGATTGAGTTTAATCTACTAAGAGCCGCAGTGGCATAGTGGTTAGAGTGCAGTACTGCAGCTTACTTCTGCTGACTGCCGGCTGCCTGCAATTTGGCAATTCGAATCTAACCAGGCTCAAGGTTGACTCAGCCTTCCATCCTTCCGAGGTCAATAAAATGAGGACTCAGATTGTTTGGGGCCATAGGCTGACTCTGTAAACTGCTTAGAGAGGGCTGGAAAGCACTGTGAAGTGGTATATAAGTCTAAAGGCTATTGCTATTGCAGTCTAACTCTGCCCACTGCTAGGAGTTTGATCCTGACCGACTCAAGATTGACTCAGCTTTCCATCCTTCCAAGGTTGGTAAAATGAGGACCCAGATTGTTGGGGGCCACACGCTGACTCTGTAAATAGCTTAGAGAGGGCTGTAAAAGCACAGTGAAGCAGTATATAAGTGCTATTGCTATTGCAGTTTAACTCTGCCCACTGCTAGGAGTTTGATCCTGACTTGCTCAAGGTTGACTCAGCTTTCCATCCTTCCGAGGTGGATAAAATGAGGACCCAGATTGTTGGGGGCCATAAGCTGACTCTGTAAACCGCTTAGAGAGGGCTGTAAAGCACTGTAAAGCGGTATATAAGTTTAAGGGCTATTGCTAAATGCTATTAAGTTTTGCAGTGCTCAAGGATTGACTTCTTTCTGTTGTTGTTGCAGGATGACAAGCAGATCCTTTGCATCACAGTCCTTCTGGGACTCAGCCACAGTGAGAATCCTCTGGTGAAAGCCGCAGCTTCACGGGCGCTTGGAGTGTATGTTGTCTTCCCGTGCCTTCAGCAGGTAAAGCACCTGAGCTGGTTTTTGCTTTATCCGCCTTGCAAAACGAAACTTCCTCAGCCAACAACTTCGAGGCGCCGTACCTGGAAAAAGAGGAATCTTGTTTTATAGCGATGGGAAAAGTTTTCACTGTTTTACAGATATTCTCAGTCAGCCAGGTCATGGTTGTCCCAAAACTGCTTTTTTTTCCAAGAGGCAACGGGACTTCCTTGGTTTTTCTTTGAAGACATTTTGCTTCTCATCCAAGAAGCTTCTTCAGCTTTCTTTTCACTGTTTTGTAAAAGAGCAGTTGACATGATCTGTTCTCAGATCAGAGTGATGCTTATAGCCACTTTTTTTCCCCTCTGCACAAAACCCACTCAGCTCCACAGATATTATTCACCATGTACAGGTCATCCTTGACTTACAACAGCTCGTTTAGTGACTGTTCAAAGTGACAACGGCACTGAAAACAGGGACTTATGACCGTTTTTCACAGTATCCCCCTGATCATGTGATCAAAATTCAGAGGCTTGGCAACGGGTTCATACTTACGACCGTTGCTTTGTCCCAAGGTCATGTAATCCCCTTTTGTGACCTCCTGAAAAGCAAAGTCAATGGGGAAGCCAGGTTCACTTAATAACCCTGTTAGTAACTTGGCAACTGCAGGGATTCACTTAACAATTGTGGCAAGAAATGTCATAAAATGGGGCAAAATTCATTTAAGAAATGTCTCACTTAACAACAGAAATTTGGGGCTCAATTGTGGTCATTAGTCAAGGACTACCTGCACAGAATTTTTGCCACAGCATTTATTATTAAGATAATTAATTAATAATTATAACTTTAGAGCCACCTGACTTCCAATGTTTGTTCCTTAAAAATTAGAAAGAAACATAAAGAAGACTCCCATTTTTGTCTGGAAAAGATAATCATCTTTTATCTATATAAAAAGACTGTATGTATGTATGTTCCAGCATAACTCTGGAACGCCTTGAGCAATTTCAACCAAACTTGGTACACAGATGACTTACTATCTGGAAACAAATACTGTGGGGATAAGACGTCCCTGGGGTGTGTTTGTCTGTGTGTGTGTGTTCCAGCATAACTGTGGAACATCTGGGCCGTTAAGGAGAGCAAGTGCAGCATCCTAGAATGGCAATTGTTTGTGATGTCAGTTCCTCTGGAAAGGCAGCCGTGACATTCTCCCTCCAGTGGAGCAATGGGAAAGCACCTGATGGATTTGGGGCAAAGTGCCAGGATCGTAGACAGGGCGGGAAAAAGGAGTGCATGGGAGGAGGAAGGGAGAGGGCAGGGATGATGGGCATGGGAGTAGGGGGAAGAAAGGCCCCTCTCAATGGCTCCCTGTCAGACAAAGGCTTCGACGTCCGGACAATACCCCAGACAATACCCGGGCAACGCTGGATTACCAGTTATATATAATAAAAACAAACAACAGGGTAAGGACTCAGTATTTACCCTAGAGAAAGGTCTGGGAGAACCAGCTAGGTCTTCAGAGCCTTTTGGAATATCATTAGGGTGGGAGTCCTATGATGTGTCCTGTCCCAAAATGGGGGGAAAATCCAGGCATTTAAATCTCTATTTGTGAGTGAAGTCTCTTTCCTCAGCAGATGGCAGCATCTAGTCAACCTTGGTTGGTCTCAAAAGTAATTGACAAACACCAGGGAACCTCAGGACAGTAGGCCAGATAAGGGAGTCGAAACATCTAGGAGAAAGCAGTGACAAACCACTTTTGAATAAACTACAGAAATGCATACCCACAACCACCTTGACTTTTACACTGTACAGTAGTGGCCAAAATTGTGGAAACCTTTTGGGAAAAGTGTATTTTCTAAAACTAGCTAATAACACCACTTTTGGGGGGAGTAGTACCATAAAATTATATATCAGTGGAAAGATAATTTAATCAAGAATGTAATGCAATAACGTTTATAAAGGATTTGCTATTAGAATAGCAGTTACAGTATAAAGAAGAAAAGTGAAACACGTAGAAAAAACGAGATATACAAAAATTATCACCATGCCAGTTAATAATAATAAAGTGTATTATCATTGTACGCATATACATAGTATACCCATACAACGAAATTCACATAACATCCAGAGACCAGACCCAGCTCACATGACAATCCCCAGACACCCCCCACCCACCAAAAATTCCCCACCCCTAAAACCACCCAAGCATCCACACAACAGACCAAGTAATGCTGTCCAACAGCTCACTGATGGTGGCCCTTTAGTTCATTGTTGAGTGCAATTACAGCTCTGGGATAAAAACTATTCAGAAAACGTGTGGTCCGAGTTTTAATTGTTCTGTATACTTAGTTGGGTAACCTTTAGCATGAATTATGGCCTTACAACGTCTTCCCGTGGAGTGAACCAAGTCTTTTAGTTATGCCGCTGTTATCATGTGAAACCAAGATTGAACAATTGCTTCTATTAACTGGGTTTTATTGTTGGGTCGCTTCTGACTAACAAGTTTCTTTAGTCGGCTCCATAGATTTTCAATTGGGTTAAGGTCTGGGCTATTCCCAGGCCATTCCAGCAGTGGAATAGGATTATCTTGAAACTTCCCCCAAAAAGTGTTGTTATTAGACATCAAAACTCAAAAATACACTTTTCCCAAAAGGTTTCCACAATTTTGGCCACTACTGTAAGCACGAATCACGCTGAGTTGGGCAGCCTTATAAAGCTTTAAATGCAGGATCTCGGTTGGTCACCGGCTTAGTCTTCTGAGCTTTCGAACTCAATACCCCAGCCGACACAACTGTTTAGTTGTCGATTGGGGTATTGATGGCCGGCTATGAAGTTGTTGCCTGTTGATTCTTTGTGCATCTGCCAAGAGTTCCTTGCGTAACAGCCAGCGGCTTAAAAGCCACCTATCAACACCCCAATTGACAATTAAAAATCCACACGCAACCAGGCACCACATAAATACGATAGAATAGCCCAAAAGCCTAATTCTGATGAGAGAGAAATTCCAGCATGAGTCCAAAAGCTCGGAAGAATAAAACCTCTGGTCCCAGTAATCGGCCCAGATTAGATCCTGCAACATTATCTTTGGACATGTATATTTGCCTTCATTCATGAAAAGAATGAATGAGTGAATGTCTGTCTCTGGGGGGGGGGGGGGATGAAATAGCTTACCAATTGAAGTAGAAATGGAATTGGGGGCAGTTTACAAAAGAAAGTCAGTTATGAAGCAAGAAAGGAGAGTCCAATAAGGGTGCGGTTCCGAAGAGCAGTGTGCAGTTGCTGTTTTGACCTAGCCTTCCCAAGAGCATGAAGCAGACTCCTTGTCTTAAGTTACTGTGAATTCTTCTCATTCATATCCAGCAAAGTCTTTCAAGGGAGAATTTACAGTCACAGACCTTATCTGGCTTGGAGAGCTGCCAGGCCCATATCTTCAAAACTTGGCAAGGGGTCGCAAACCAATTAAGCAAACTAATTGTCTCCTGCAAATTCTACTCCCCTTTCGCTCCTCTTTTATTCCCTCTGGGAGGGTCCATTCATCGTCCACCTGTGGCCTTACTCCCAAGTCGACCCTTGTTCTTTAGCTGTTCCCTTTGTCTGGCAACTCTGTGCATGCACACACTGGGAACATTGCCTCACTGATGTCTGACTCCAAAGGCAGCCGATAGCTGGCATAAGGCCCTGGCCCCCTCTCTGCCTCCGATGCAAAGCCTTCATCAGAGCCTTCCCCAAACTCCAGGACTGGCCCATGTTCCTCCCCAACCTCCTCACTGTCTGAATCTGCTGCCAGATCCACTGGCTGCTGGCAAGCCAAAACATTTGCAAAGTTACTAGCAAATGCAGAAAAGCAATTAATGCACTGATAAAATTGTGATGAGGGTATGTATATGGTGCATAGAAGCAATTGCGGTTGATTCTTAAGTAGCTGTGATAGCAATGAAATGAAAAGTTTTTTCCAACGCCCTTGCAACATCAGGGGATCAGACAAATTGGCTACAGCTCATCTGTAATTAAACATTAGTAAAACATTTTGGGTAAGACAAAACTGTTTCCTTAGAGGAGAAAACACATTCTTAAAATTCAATGGTGTCAAGGAAGAAATTACACAGATACCTATGTTTCCTTGAAAATAAGACCGGGTCTTATATTAATTTTTGCTCCTAAAAACGCATTAGGGCTTCTTTTCTGGTTAGGTCTTATTTTGGGGGGAATACGTTACTAAAAATGTCCGTCTGGCTGACGACCTTAACTTGGACTTATTTTGGGGGTACGAAATACGAGCATCCTGAAAAATCATGGTAGGACTTATTTTCCAGTTGGGGCTTATTTTCAGGGAAACACAGTATGTAGAAGACTATGTGGAGGAGGGGGAAATAACAATATATTAATGACCAATATCTGATCTTAGGATGTGATGTTTGTCGCTGACACAGCCAACACAATTCTGAATTCGCTCAGTGATAATTCTCCGAATGTCCGTGCCAAAGCAGCTTGGTCTTTGGGAAATCTGACAGACACTCTAATCATCAACAAGTAAGTTGCTGGGTTAGGATTATTTCTCCTTTCCTTTCCTTTCCTTTCCTTTCCTTTCCTTTCCTTTCCTTCCTTTCCTTTCCTTTCCTTTTTCCTTTCCTTTCCTTTCCTTTCCTTTCCTTTCCTTTCCCTTCCCTTCCCCTTCCCTTCCCTTCCCTTCCCTTCCCTTCCCTTCCCTTTCCTTCCCAAGTTATGACAGTGCTAAAAAAAAGTAACTTTGCAACCAATCCTCACATTTATGACTGTGGTGGTCTCTCAATTGGCTTCGCAATTGGGGCGCGTTGTCACTTGCAACAAGCAGAATTAATACTACACAGTATGGAAGGCGGAAGTAAAATCGTGAGTCCCAGTCACATGATTTTACACTTACCGACTGAGTTGCCGGTCCAAATTGCGGTCAGCAAGCAAGGACTAGCTATGCAATTCATAACAATCCCGCAGCTTCAAAAATTCAACTTAAATAAGTTTCAAAGGGCTTGGACGATTTTTTTTAATCTGACAGTATTTGGTGCCTTTTAACCAGGGGTGAAATCCAGCAGGTTCTGACAGGTTCTGGAGAACTGGTAGCGGAAATTTTGAGCAGTTCGGAGAACCGGTAGCGGAAATTTTGAGTAGTTTGGAAAACTGGCAAATATCACCTCTGGCTGGCCCCAGAGTGGGGTGGGAATGGGGATTTTGCAGTATCCTTCCCCTGGAGTGGGGTGGGAATGGAGATTTTGCAGTATCCTTCCTCTGCCACGCCCACCAAGCCACACCATGTCCACCAAGCCACGCCTACAGAACTGGTAGTAAAAAAATTTGGATTTCACCACTGCTTTTAACCCATATTAAGATAAATGAACTCTCTGAGGCCAATAGGCGGAATGTTAGTACACTACATCATCATGAAAAAGGTTCTATCTTGAGAAGTCAGTTCTTGTTTTATTTTTGTTGAATGAAGTTACAGCAACGTTTCTCAAACTTGACAACTTTAAGAGATGTGGACTCCAACTCCCAGAATGCCGGCTGGGGACTTCTGAGAGTTGTAGTCCACACCTCTTAAAGTTATCAAGTTCAAAAACCACCAAGTTAGTGGACGGTTGCCTCAGTTGTGTGCTGTTTAGATTAGAGATCCCCAACCCCCAATTTGCAGACTGGCACTAGTCCGTGGCCCAGCATGGACCACGCGAGTGAAGCTCCATCTGCGCACGACATCCAGGCAGTGTACAAAACCATGTCCCTCCAGTCCACGGAAAAACCACCCTCCATGGGACCGGCCCCTGGTGCCCAAAAGGTTTGGGGCTGCTGGTCTAGACTCTAGGCCTGTTTTGTGTTTATCCAAGTTGTCAAGAGGTACCTGAATTTTGGAGCTGCAGCTTCATTTTTCAGCTATTTACTAACGTATTTGATTTGGCCATAATCCAAATGACTCCTGGTGTCTTAGATAATTTGGCGTTATTGAAAGAAGAACAGACTAGGAATAGAATAGAAATAGAAATAATAGAATAGAACAGAACAGAACAGAACAGAACAGAACAGAATAGAATTCTTTATTGGCCAAGTGTAATTGGACACACAAGGAATTTGTCTTTGGTGCACATACTCTCAGTGTACAATAAAAAGACAAGATACATTCGTCAAGAATCATAAGGTACAACTCTTAATAATAGTCATAGGATACAAATAAGCAATCAAATCATACTAGGAAACAATCAATATAAATCGTAAGGATACAAGCAACAAAGTTACAGTCATGCAGTCATAAGTGGGAGGAGATGGGTGATAGGAACAATGAGAAGACTAATAGTAAAAACATACAGAAGTATCCTGAAGGAAGGGAATGAACTCTGAGAGGCCGTTTTCAAATGAATACTATATCTTTCAACTGTATGCTGAAAGGGACAGAGGAAAGGGAATAAAAAGTCAAAGTCTCTATATCAGATTTAGAGATTACCCATTTTACTCATAATGCCACATTTTTCTGATGTCTTCTCAGATACGAACATGTTATTTTAAAAAAATGCTTTAATCTCTCCAAATCAAGTCCTCTTTAAAAACAAGGAAAGATACAAAAAGGAATAAATTGGAGGGGCTGCTTCAAGATGGACAGGAGTGGATATTTAATTTGTTTGGTATTTTTGATCCAGCTGGAGCTGTTTCTCATCTCTTTGTTTTTTTTGTTTGGTGGGAAACAGGGAGCTAATGGGACAAAGCTTCCAGGATGAATTCTCAGACGTGTTACTCCTGAAAATGTTACGATCAGCAACTGAGGCATCGAAAGACAAGGATAAGGCAAGTATCTCAAAAGTTGCACATGTGTGCTTGTAAATAGGCAGCAATGGAGGCACAGCTAAAAGGCACAGTTTGGCAGGCAGTTTGTCAAATTACATATAAATGGGAAAGTGCCAAGCAAAACACCAAGTGATTCAGCCAGAACAGAAAGTGTGTGGTGAGATGGACTAACCTGTGAAGGGCAGAAAAATCAGAGTTAGTGTTGTGGCCCGCCAGTGGCCTGCGCAGATTGTTGCTGATCCCGACGATGAGGAGACTGTTGTGGTGTCGCGCCAGCAGCCTGTACAGCCGGTGCTCGAGTCAGACAGCGAGGAGGCTGAAGAAGAGGTGGTGCCAGAGGTGGGGATTCAGCCAGGGCCTTCAGAACCTCCAGAGGCTCCTTTAAGTACAGAGGATGAAATGGAGGAGCCTCTTCTTGATGCAGGGTTACGCAGAGCTGCCAAAAAGCAGGAGTGGCTCCTCAGGAGGAGGTCTCCTCGAGAGTAAGGCTTGGGGCTAATTGGCCACTCCCTTAGCCTATTTAAGTTTGCACACAGCTTTTAAAAAGCTGCAGGAAACAACGCATGTTCGCTCGAGGATCATTGAATCTGGATTTTCTTTGCAAACCTTGCTCCTGGGCTTTTTGCCAACTCTCATAAGACTTTATCTTTCTGTGGAATTTCTGGCAGGTTGTTAAGGACGTTTTAGTTAACAACCTGCATTTGTAAAAAACTATGTTTGGAAGTAAACTGAGTTTGGTTCATAGTTTGTGTGTGTGCTTCATTCTCTGGGCTCCGTAGCTGGGGCAGAACAGTTACTTATTTAAATGGGAAAGATTTTCATTGGAAAATGGACCTACCAGTGGTAGGCTTCTACTGGTTCGGCCTGGTTTGGGTGAGCCGGTAGCGATGATGGTGAGCTGCGAGCGAACCGGTTCTCTCTGATGGTTAGGTTGGCCCTCCCGCCTGCCCCTGCGTTATAGATACCTTTTATTTGGTTGTTTTTAGCCCAGCTGAAAGGCGCGGCAAGCGGGTTGCCACGTCTCAGCTGTTCTGTAATACACTGCGCTTTCGCGGAGCGCAAGTTTGGCATGCACACGCGTGAAACAAGTACGTGCGCGCAAAGCGCGTGCATGATGCGAACCGGTGGTAACACCGTTTGAAACCCACCACTGGGACCTACTGTGGGTTTTCTGTCTTCAGAGCCAGCTTGGTATAGCGGGTAAGAGGCTGACTTAGAAACCAGGAGATTGTGAGTTCTAGTCCCGCCTTAGGTATGAAAACCGGCTGGGTGACTTTGGGCCAGTTACTTCCTCTCAGCTCAACCCACCTCACAGGGTTGTTGTGGTGGGGAAAATAAGAGGAGGAAGGCATTTTAGGCATGTTTGCCACCTTGAGTTACTTATAAAGGAGCCTGGTGGTGCAGTGGACTAAACTGCTGTTAAAGTAGCACTTAGCTGCCAGCTGCCTGCAATTACTGCGAGTTCAATTCTCACCGGGCTCAAGGTTGACTCAGCCTTCCATCCTTTCGAGGTAGGTAAAATGAGGACCTGGTTTGTGGGGGCAATAAGCTGACTTTGTATAAAAAAGAAAACCGCTTGGGGGGGGCGAAAGCCCTACTAAACAGGTATATACAAAAGTATGAAGGCTATTGCTTAACGCATTGTAAGCCACCCTGAGTCTCCGGAGAAGGGCGGCATATAAATCGAACTAATAAATAAAATAAAATAAATAAATAAAGTAAACTTGTGCCCCAGTTCTTAATTAATTTGTTAGAAAGGGCAGCCGGAATGGAAAATAATTCATAGGAAGGCAGTAAAAAGGTAACGATCGCCTTTTGACTAAATTTGACGCCTGATTGATTAATTTGAAATCAGTAGGAATCAAGTCTTGCCTTGAAAAACAGTTGAAGCCATTTTCTGGAGGAAGAGACGATGGGCCAGTTCCTCTCTCTCAGCCCAACCCACCTCACAGGGTTGTTGTGGGGAAAATAGGAGAAGGAAGGTGTTTTAGGCATGTTTGCCACCTTGAATAAGTAAGTAATAAAGGCAAGATAAAAATCAATCAATCAAATAAACAAATATCAATATATAGCAGTGATGGCTAATCTTTTTGCCATCGTGTGCCAAAAGCGGGGGAAGTGCGGTGGGGTCACACGCACCTGTGCCCACATCCATAATTCTATGCGCCCCCCCCGTGCTTCCCCCCCTTTTGGCACGCGATGGCACGGTGGGCCCAGTAGTCCTGTTTTTTGCTCTCCCCAGGCTCCAGAGCCTTTCTAGGAGGCTCTGGAGCCTGTTTTTGCCCTCCCGGAGGCTTGACGAAAGCCTCCAGAGCCTGGGTAGGGCAAAAATGCCCCCCCCCATCCCGCCATAGTGCAAGAAGCCAACTAGGCCATACCCACCATGGCCATGCCCACCCAGCAACTAGGCAGAGAACCCCTTGCTAAAGTTTTTGAGGCCCACCCCTGGTGTGGTATCATCCTATTGGCTCAGAGGCCCAAAAGGGCTGGAGCTACAGAGCAAGATGGATTCATGACATCGTTCAGTACTTTAAGGCCTGAGCAGATCTAGTTTTTACAGTCCAAGCAACGGACTTTTCCCATCTCTCTCTCAGGTCAAGAGCAATGCTGTCCGAGCCCTGGGAAACCTCCTTCATTTTCTCCAGCCGTGCCACATCGCCAGTCCCAGATTCAGCCAACCCATTGAGGAAGCCATCCAGGCTCTGACTTCGACGGTGCAGAGTGATGCCACGATGAAAGTGCGTTGGAACGCCTGCTACGCCCTGGGAAATGTCTTTAAAAACCCTGCCTTGCCATTGGGTAAGTAAAAGCGACAGAGCGTTTTTAGGTTGAATGGGAGGGGAGGGGAGCGAAGGGGGGGATGGGAGAAGAGGACAGGAGAAATACTTTTGTCAAGATGTTGAGACTCTAGAAAGAGTGCAGAGAAGAGCAACAAAGAAGATTATGGGATTGGAGGCTAAAACATATGAAGAACGGTGGCAGGAACTGGGTATGTCTAGTTTAATGAAAAGAAGGACTAGGGGAGACATGATAACCTCCCACCGACCAGTACGCTCCCACAGAGAGGGTCTCCTCAGGGTGCCGTCGATTAGACAGTGTCGACTGGCGACCCCCAGGGGGAGAGCCTTTTCTGTGGGAGCACCTGCCCTCTGGAACGAACTGCCCCCGGAGATTCGCCGGATTTCCGACCTCCGTACCTTCCGCCGCGCCCTTAAAACGCTATTATTCCATCAAGCAGGGCTGGCCTAAAATATTATTTTAATGGGTTATTGTGTTTTAGATGATTGGCCAAACAATCTAATAATTTTAAATTGTTTTTAACTTTTATATTGTTGGTTCTTATCTTGGCTGTACACCGCCCTGAGTCCCTTTGGGAGAAGGGCGGTATAAAAATTTGATAAATAAATAAATAAACAGCATTCCAATATCTGAGGGGCTACCACAAAGAAGAGGGAGTCAAGCTATTTTCCAAAGCACCTGAGGGTAGGAGAAGAAGCAATGGGTGGAAACTAATCAAGGAGAGAAGCAACTTAGAACTGAGGAGAAATTTCCTGACAGTGAGAACAATTAATCAGTGGAACAATTTGCCTCCAGAAGTTGTGAATGCTCCAACACTGGAAGTTTTTAAGAAGATGTTGGATAACCATTTGTCTGAAGTGGTGTAGGGTTTCCTGCCTAGGCAGGGGGTTGGACTAGAAGACCTCCAAGGTCCCTTCCAACTCTGTTATTCTGTATTCTATTCTATACTTTATTTGGCCAAGTGTGATTAGACACACAAGGAATTTGTCTCCGGCGCAGAAGCTCTCAGTGTACATGCAAAGCCACAGAATAATGATAATCCTCATAATAACATAGGTAGTCCTCGATTTACCACAGTTCATTTAGTGATCGCTCAAAGTTATAACAGCACTGAAAAAAGTGACTTATGACCATTTTTCACACCTACAACCATTGCAGTGTCCCCAGGGTCACGTGATCAAAATTCAGATGATTGTCAACTGGCTCACATTTATGACGGTTGTCGTGTCCCAAGGTCATGTGATTCCCCTTTTGCGATCTAATGACAAGCAAAGTCCATGGAGAAGTCACCTTCACTGAACAACCATGATTCCCATAACAACTGCAGTGATTCCCTTAACAACTGTGCCAGGAAAAATCGTAAAATGGGTCAAACCTCACTCAACAATTATCTCGCTTAGCAACATAAATTTTGGGCTCAATTGTAGTTTTAAGTCATTTGGCCGTTTTTTGCTGGAAACTAACAAAACTATCACGAATTTCGTTAGAGGAGACATTTTAAAAGAAAGGAGCAATCATTGGATTCCTGATAAGCCTGGTAATTTATTTTTATTTTTACCTATTCTGAATTCTTTAGGAGAAGCCCTTTGGACTGGCAAAGCCTATGATGCTCTCACGTCGGCGGTCAAGTCCTGCAAGAATTTTAAAGTCCGCATCAAATCAGCCGCCGCTCTCTCCGTGCCATCTGAGAGGAGGCATTATGGGACTCCCAAGCAGTTCTCCCAGATTTGGGATGCGCTGGTGACCGCTTTGCAGCGGAGTGAGAATGCCGAAGACTTCTTGGAGTTCAAATACAGCGCTAGCCTCCGAATGCAACTCTGCCACGCTCTGCTTCGTCTGCTGAGCCTGGCCGAGGAGACAGACCTACCGGACATCAGAAGGAGTGTGATCGAGCAGGGAGAAATAATTCGGGTTTATATGTTGCAGTATATGAAATCAGGAGCTGAAGGTGAGGAAGCTGGAATAGGAGAGACCATTCCTGAAAGGGACAGAATCCTGGAAAGGGCCATTGAGCACGTGAGAAGGGTGGAGGAAGCCTCTGAAGGCTGCCCAGTGAAAAGGGGGATGTTGGCTTACTTAGAGGACCTCTTGAAAACCCACAACTGTTCCACAGAATTCACCAAAGCTTAAGCTGGCAAGATAAAGAAGAAGCCAGGTGTTCTGATCTAGGCTTCCTGAGACAGTAAGAAGCACACAATTAGTCCCCAAACCCCTCCTTTTCTTTCAACGGCTGTGAATTCTGTTCATTCACAGCCCATGATGAGTCACAAATAATTTGTCAAGAGTCCGACAGACGTCTGCCACAGTCCTTTGGGATAAGGCTGATAAGCACCCACCTTTATTTCCCTTGACACACTGCCAAAGACCTAATTGGCAATTAGCTTTGCAAGGCCACACGGAGCACAGAGTCAAAACGGAGCTTCAGAATTTAAACTGACCAGCACAAAGAAAGTTGCTTCCTGCAAAGGCTCACGTGCCTTTGCTCCTCCTTTATGTCTTATGGGAGGGGCCAATCATCTCCAAGCCTTACTCCCAAGTTGCCTCTTTTGTCTTAAATGTTCTTGCCCTCTGGCAACTCTGCGCATACGCGCACTGGGAATTGGCTCCCCCTGTTCCTCTGCCTCTCTGATGTCCAATTCTGGAGGCTCTGGAGTCAGCATATAACTCCCAGATAGCCCTGGCCCCATCTTTGCCTCCGACGCAGAGGCCTCATCTAAGCCTTCTCCAGACTCCAGGACTGGCCCATGTTCCTCCCCAGCCTCCTCACTATCCGACTCTGCTGCCAGCTCCGGAGGCTGCCGGCGGATCACAAAACCAGGCCAGGCCTGTGCTTATTACGAACATCTCAAAAAGAAGATTAGAGAGGAAGACAACAAAGGGATCATCGTACCACTCAGCCACTGTCCTACCGAAGAATTAAAAAGTCCTTTTCGGTGGCTCCTTTCTCCTTTCCTTTTTAATCACAGGGACAGACTTCACAGAGCCCCTTTTAATATATTGTAAACATTTGCCTTACCAACTGCCTCATTTCCGAATAATTCACCCAAATAACATTAGCGAACGGCAGCAATTGGGGAAAGGATATGGTGGCTCAGTGGCTAAGACGCTAAGCTTGTCGATCGAAAGGTCGGCAGTTCAGCGGTTCGAGTCCCTAGTGCCGCGTAACGGGGTGAGCTCCTGTGACTTGTCCCAGCTTCTGCCAACCTAGCAGTTCGAAAGCAGGTAAAAAAATGCAAATAGAAAAATAGGGACCACCTTTGATGGGAAGATAACAGCGCTCCGTGCGCCTTTGGCATTTAGTCATGCCGGCCACATGACCACGGAGACGTCTTTGGACAGCGCTGGCTCTTTGGCTTTGAAACGGAGATGAGCACCACCCCCTAGAGTCGGGAATGACTAGCACATATGTGCGAGGGGAACCTTTAAAATGAAGAAAAAAAATCAAGGAGCCCTATATTAACATTCTCTAAAAATATCATTTTATTCCAATGAAGATTAATAAATTACTCGGTTCTAAACATGTTTCCTTTTGCCTTCCTTATTTATCTTTTATTTATCTTTTTTTACTCTTATTTATCTTTTCACCCTTACTCTGAAGATTAGGAGAAGGTGGTCTAAAGTGTTGAGGAGAAGAGTTTCCTCTCTCCATTTGTCATGAATGCATCTTGTCCTATTTTCAGATAGATTTAATTTAATTTAATTTAATTAATTAAATTTATATGCCGCCCCTCTCCGAAGACTCAGGGCAGCTCACAATACATTTTAAAAAATAATTATTAAAAAAAAATTGAAAAATTAAAAACATTAAAAACTCATTCACGCCATTCATGGCCGGATCTCGCCAGATCACAAGAGCAAGATCAACGGCCCCAGGCCTGCCGGAAAAGCCAGGTCTTCACCGCTTTTCGGAAGGCCAATAGGGTGGGGATGGTCCGGACCTCAGGAGGTAACTGATTCCAGAGAGCCGGGGCAGCCACAGAGAAGGCCCTCCCCCGCGGGCCCGCCAGCCGGCATTGTTTAGCTGACGGGACCTGGAGGAGACCAACTATGTGGGATCTTACTGGTCGCTGGGAGCTATGCGGCAGAAGGCGGTCTCGAAGATAACCTGGCCCTGAGCCATGTAGGGCTTTAAAGGTAATAACCAACACCTTGAATTGTGACCGGAGACCAATAGGGAACCAGTGCAGCTCGCAGAGAATTGGTGTAATGTGGGTGTACCTAGGTGCACCCACGACAGCTTGCGCGGCTGCGTTCTGGACCAACTGTAGTCTCCGAACACTCTTCAAGGGTAGCCCCATGTAGAGTGCGTTGCAATAATCTAACCGTGAGGTGACAAGGGCATGAGTGACTGAGGAGAGCCTCCCGATCCAAGTAGGGTCGCAATTGGTGCACCAGGAGAACCTGTGCAAAGGTCCCCCTAGCCACAACTCTCAGATGTTGCTCTAATCTTAGCTGTGAGTCTAGAAGGACACCCAAATTGCGAGCCCTGAGGCTCTGAGGGGGACAATTTCTCCACACACACCCCCCAGAACCAAGGATGGACAATCGACATAGGAGGCAATACCCACAGCTACTCGGTCTTGTCTGGGTTAAGTCTGTTAAGTTAAGATGCCTGTTCCCAATTTAAAATGGCAATCGGATAGCAATAGAAAAGGATATTTGTAGCTCAGCATTGAACAGTAGAGTCCTTGGTGCTCTCCGAGCTTGGTTGTTTACCTTCCGCAGTGAAGGTGGGTAAGGGAATATCTGCCAGAAAATCACCCAGCTCAGAGAGTACCAAGGATTCAAGATGATAAAAGAGCCATCGTGGCATTGTGGTTAAAATGCAGTATTGCAGGCTAACTCGCTTGCTCATTGTCAGGAGTTCAATCCTGACCGGCTCAAGGTTGACTCCGCCTTCCATCCTTCTGAGGTTGGTAAAATGAGGACCCAGACTGTTGGGGGCAATACGCTGACTCTGTAAACCACTTAGAGAGGGCTGTAAAAGCACTATGAAGCGGTATGTAAGTCTAAGTGATATTGCTATGATAATCTGACTTTTAACATGGCAAATTTTAACTGCATTGAAGCCCAACTATTCCATACAACATATTCTTTTTTTTTTAAAGGCAGATCTTTATGTCCTTAAAGTTAAGGGAATAAATAACTTTGCTAGTCAGAAGCCAGCTGGGAAGGTTGCAAACAGTGATCACATAACCCCTGGATGTTTTTTTTATTTTTATTTTTTATTTTTATTTATTTTTATATGCCGCCCTTCTCCGGAGACTCAGGGCGGCTTACAATGCGTTAAGCAATAGCCTTCATACTTTTGTATATGTTGTCACCACCATAAAGGCCAGTTGCCAAGCACCCAAATTTTGATCACGTTACTAAGAAGCTACAATGGTTGTAAGCGCAAGGCCCAGTTGTAAGTCACTTTTTCCAGTGGTGGTGTAATTTCGAACAGCCATTAAACAAATAGTTGTAGGTCAAGGACGACAGAGCAGAACAGAACAACAGAGTTGGAAGGGATTTTGGAGGTCTTCTAATCCAACCCCCTGCTCAGGAAGGAAATCCTACACACTTCAGACAAGCGGTTGTCCAACCTCTTCTTAAAAACCTCCAGTGATGGGGCACCCATAACTTCTAGAAACAGGTTGTTCCAGGGGTGAAATCCAGCAGGTTCTGGAGAACCGGTAGTGGAAATTTTGAGCAGTTCAGAGAACTGGCAAATATCACTCTGGCTGGCCCCAGAGTGGGGTGGGAATGGAGATTTTGCAGTATCCTTCCCCTGCCACGCCCACCAAGCCACACCATGCCTACCCAGCCACGCCCACAGAACCGGTAGTAAAAAAAATTGGATTTCACCATGTCCGTCACCGGCCGTTGGCAATCATGTTTGCAATCCTATTTTTGTCAACAGACACATGAAAAAGTGCTGCTGAGTTTTGTCCAAACCAGTCCCTTAGGTTTTGAAGCTATGATGTTCTTCAGCCTGGACCTCGTTTGCCTTCAACCTTTTCCTGGAGGGTTTTTTTTTTTTTATTTGATTTATATGCCGCCCTTCTCCGAGACTCAGGGCGGCTTACAAGGTGCTCAGCAATAGCCTTCATCCTTTTGTATATTTATACAAAGTCAGCTTATTGCCCCCACAAACTGGGTCCTCATTTCACCTACCTTAGAAAGGATGGAAGGCTGAGTCAATCTTGAGCCTTGGCGAGATTCGAACCCTGCAGTAATTGCAGGCAGCTGGTCTTAATAACCAGCTTAATAACAGGGTGCCTTAAACCCCTGTACTACCAAGGCTCTTGGTAGTACAGGGTTAAGTGAAGGGTTAAGTGAAGGATGCTGTATTTTTCTGAGTGTCGCATCGCAGGTCCAAAATATTCTAACTTTCACTTTTTAATGGCTTTGATGGTTTCCTTTAGCTTTCCCAGGCGGCTTATCGCCTCCTCATTTGTGATTTTGTTAACCCAGCTTCTACGTAATAGCCGTCTGTTCAGGAGTGAAATGTTCCCGGTTCGGACCGGATCGCCCGATCCGGTAGCAATGGCAGCGGGTGGTTCGGAGAACCGGTAGCAAAAATCCCTGTGCCCCCCTACCATGCTCAGCTGAGTCGCACGGTCATCAGAGGCTTTTTTTTTTTTTTACTTTTAAAAGCATTTTTTCTACAACCTCTTCCGACAAAAAAATGCTTTTAAAAGTAAAAAAAAAAAGCCTCTGAGGATCGCGCGGCTCAGCTGGATCGTCAGAGGCTTTTCAAAGCATTTTTTTCTGCAACCTCTTGGCCGAAGAGGTGGTAAAAAAAATGCTTTGAAAAATCTCTGACGATCCCAGCTGAGTTGCCTGATCGGCAGAGGCTTTTCAAAGCATTAGAAAAAATGCTTTGAAAAGTAAAAAAAAAAATAGTTGACCACGCCCACCCAGTCACATTACACCCCCCCCACCAAGCCACGCCCACAGAACCGGTAGTAACACATTTTAAATTTCACCCCTGCGTCTGTTAATCCCCATTTCAAATGCTTCTAGCCCCTTCAAGTGGCTTTCCGTCAGAGACCAACTCTCCACTCCGTAGAGCAGGATAGAAAAGATGTAACTTCTTAGAAGCCTGATTTCAGATTTGCCTTGTACTGCAGTAGTATAATTAAAGTTGATGTCCCTTGGCCAACCTCTAACACATTCGCCCATTTAAGATGAGGGATCAGTAAAAGAACTGCAGTGTTGGCCAGAGAGACTCTGCTCACCATATATAGAGATCCTTCGGGAGGAATTCAAGCTTCACTGGATTTTCATCTTGTTCATCCTTGCTGCAGAAGTCAACTTGATCCTTTGCGGGTGACGCTATCTTGAGTGGTCTACCTTTCCCATCGTCTTAATCCATCGGAACTCTATCAAAAATGTACAGGTAGCCCTCAACTTACAACAGTTCATTTAGTGACCGTTGCAAAGTTGCAACGGCACCGAAAGAAAGCAACTTGGGACCATTTTTGACACCTTTGCCGCATCCCCGTGATCATGTGATCCATCATGTGGCTTGATGGACGTGATGGGTGTGGCTTGGTGGGCATGGCTTGTGGGCATGGCAGGAGAAGGATACTGCAAAATCCCCATTCCCACCCTACTCCAGGGGAAGGATATTGCAAAATCCCCATTCCCTTCCCACTCTGGGGCCAGCCAGAGGTGGTATTTACCGGGTTCTCCGAACTACTCAAAATTTCCGCTACTGGTTCTCCAGAACCTATCAGAACCTGCTGGATTTCACCCCTGGGCAAAACTCACTTAACCAATGTCTCGCTTAAACAACAGAAATTTTGAGCCTGTAAGCCGAGGACTACTTGTATCCATTTTATGCAAGCACAATTTTTAAGAACATATCCTTCAGGTGTAAGCTCCGTGTTTGTCGGGGGCTTCCACCTTTCAGGGGGAGGCATCATGTTGGGACAAGGGTGCGTTAATAACCTTTAAGTGTGCAGGTGGCAGGTTTTATGGGGATTCTTGATTCCTTGTTCTGTTTGCAAGCCAGCCCTTTCACATCCTTTCCTGGGATTGTTTCAAGGTGAGGGCACTTTGCTTATCAGCTGGAGGTACGATTTATTACAGGCCAGAAAAGTGACAGGCCTTTCCAAGTTCTTCTACGGCCTCTTTGAAAGGTAAGTAAAAACTTTCAAGCCTCTATGTGTGTGTGTGTCCTCCGTGGATACAATGGCTTTGGATAGTGAAATGGGTGGCATGTAAATTTAATTAATCAACAAAAATAGTACAAGGGCAATCTATCTGACAAAAAAAAATATTTATTTTAAATCATTACAGTCAAAAGACCAGAGCCCAGAACAAATTAAAAAAAAACACTCAAGGAATATCCAGTTAAAAATTCTAGAATAAAATAATAGATAACAGATAAAATCTATATTAAAATGTGGCATCCAGTCTGTTGGTTACACATGCCCTAATTGCACTATGACATCAATCCAGGGGTGAAATGCTACCGGTTCGGTCCGGTTTGGGTGAAACGGTAATGATAAAAAATACCAATTCGGACGAAC